AAAAAAAAAAAGTTTAGATGGTAAACAAATTATCTGAGAAAGAATTATGTTTGTGTTTTTATTATTTGTTATTTAGGTTTAAAAATATGAATTTTAAAATAAAAAAGTGTTTTAGCGGGTTGTGTTCGTTAATTGATATGTTGGTTGCTTAAACGGTAATCAATCTGACCTGATTTTTTTATGGTTAAAATTAATCAAACCAAATCGATTTCTTAATTCAAACTAGACTCAATTTGGTTTGTTCAATTTTTCGATTTTTTTGCTCACCCCTAACTATAAGACAATTGTACCAAAGTGATTAGCCCTATTGGCTTCACAAATTGGATTATGTTTGTGCACCATGTGCCCTATATGAGTAACGTTGTCCATTTTCATTTTTAAAACCTCCATTTGAGCTAATAATACTGATACAACATCAACACTGTGAACTCTTGTTTTTTCTCGATACTTCTTTATCCTTCTTTTGGGGTGAAATCAATGGAAGGACGAGGAAAAAATGGTGTCCTTGGGACAAAGTGAGTCGACCTGTGATGGAGGAAGGGATTGGGATACGTAAGTTTGAAGATGTTCAACGGGCTTTACACATGAAGTTTGCTTGGTGTTTTTTAGCTTCAGATTCATTGTGGACAAGGTTTTTCAGAGCAAAGTTTTCTAAAAAGGGGATCTTGGATATGGATAATCTTAGCGATACTGGGACTCGTTTCTGGAGGTTAGCGAGAAACTGTCTGCCAGAGGTTATTGAACATAGTCAGTGGAAGATAAGGGATGGCTCTCGCTCTTTCTGGTTTGACAAATGGATGGACGAGGGCCCTCTTTGTGCACAAGTAACGCAGGTTGTAGAACCAACGACGAAAATTAATGAAATTTGTTTAGAAAATGGATGGGATATGGTTCGGCTGAGAGAACTTGTTGGCGACACACTGGCTAATGAAGTTGTATCTCAGGTTGGAACTCGAAGAAGGGGAACAGATTTGCTGATTTGGAAACCACATAAACAGGGCTTATTTACTGCAAAATCAGCTTGGGAGGTGGTGAGGGTGTGAGCTGCTCAAGTTGAATGGGTGACCTGTATATGGAACAACGCCTTGCCTAAGCGTGTCTCTGTGCTCATGTGGAAAGCTCTTAATAGGAGTTTAAGTGTTAATGAACGCATTAAGTCAGTCGGTATTAGCCTTGCATCAAAATGTGATTATTGCTCTACAGGTCATGAGGAAAATACATCTCATGCTCTAAGCTCTGGAGACTTTGAGGACAGGGTGTGGAAGAAAGTGGGAACATTGGTTGGTGTGCGCTGGAGGGCAAGTCAAAATTGGATGGAAAGAATCAATTTACAGTGGACACGAGCGAAAAGATCATCAAAGGTGGGATGTTTGATTGGTTTGCTCCCAAGTTTAATTACTTGGAGGCTCTGGACAAGACGATGCAAAGCAAAGATGGAGGGTAAGATTGAACCAGTTGAGGATGTGGTTTTATCTATGAAATTCTGGTTACAACAGGTTTCTCTTAATCTGTTAAATGTCAAAGTGCTAACTAGTCATGATACTATGTGCTTCGAATGTTGGAGATACCTCAAGCACCCGTTAGAATGAAGCATATTCGAGTGGTTTCATGGAAAAAACCTCATCATAATCGAGTGAAACTCAATGTGGATGGCAGCAGTCTTGGGAATCCTGGACAAATCGATGGAGGAAGAGTGATTAGAAATGAAAAAGGTGAATTGATTTCAGCTTTTAGTACCTATTTTGGTGAGGGGACCAACAATGAAGTTGAACTGAAAGCACTCATCGAATGTTTAAAACTATGTCGTGAGTTTGGTGTAAACCATATCGATATTGAGTGTGACTCAGAGTTGGTGGTGTCATGGACTTCTTCTCTGAGGTGCTCTTTGTGGTATCTATTGGACTTTTGGGATAATTTTTTGAATTTATTACAGCAATTTGATTATCAGGCGGCACATCAATGGAGAGAAGGGAACTAAGTGACAGATTGTTTAGCTGGATTGGGAGCAAAAGGCCTGTCAGAATGTTTTAATACTTGGATTGAGCTGCTAAGGCTTGCTCGAGGGTTACTTCGTTTGGATATGATGGGGGTGGCGTATTGGAGGAAGTGAGATGTTGATTGAGGTTAGGGCAGTGGTGTCTTTTGAGTCTACATGCTTTGTTATTTGATTGGTATAGTGTCAATTGTTCGAGTGTGTAAACATGGTATTCCTCCGCCACAAGTGAGAGCTTATTAATAAAGTATTTAAAAAAAAAAGGCAATATAGCTGAAGTTTATGTCATTCTCTCATACAATTATATGCTTCTCAAATATTCATCGTTGTAATTGAACTATTTGACGTAGCATCAACTGCTGATCGGTTAGTAGGCAACAAACTAGTATATGCTTCCTTAGTAACTCTTTTTCATGCCTCGTGAAAGCTTTCGAAGACCAATTGATTGGAGATAGATATATTGTGTATTAGCTTGAAAACTTTAGAAGGTGGAAAATACTTGTATGTGAATTTTTGCACCATATCGTTCCACGAAATGATGGTCCCAACAGTTAGAGAATATAGCAATTCTTGTGCGGTATACATAAATGTGTCTAAGAATAGTGCATTTCATTGGCTTCCACTGAAACTTGGTCGTATAAAAAAATCCTTCACAAGTTTATAAATTACAAAACATACTCATGTGGATTCTCATCCACTTTGCCAAAAAATCGAATTTGATCACGATACTGAATGGTCCAGTTGGAATATAAAATTTGCCTGCCCAAAATGTGGATATATGATGATGGATTGAGTGTGAACCACAGGTGGGATCATGAAATCCCCTGCTAACATGTCTCTCATTTACCATCTCCTATTCCAATCCTCAACCCATATTCTTTAGTTTAGTTTGTGTATAAATTGACAGCTGATAATCCAATTATACTCAACTATCTCTCCCACTATAAGTGTCTATATTTTTAACACGACCCAAAATATCCTTATTTCGAATTCAAATACTTAGAACTGCATTTAGTTACATGATTATCTATTTTAATTGCATAAATCATAAAGAATTACTCCTAGCAATTATTGAACTTTATATTAATTATCATAATGTGTTGATCCTATTTCGAACATCCCAAAAACAAAATAAGTCATTGATTATTTAAATAGAATTCAAACATTTAAATAAGAATAATAATATAATATCAATTAATCACACAAATCGTACTAAAAGAAATGGTCTTTGAACTAAAATGGTATAACAATGGTTTACATCTTGTCCCAACACTTAACAAGTTCAGCCTAGCATGCTAATGATAAAATTACAATAAAACATATAGACATGGGCGGACCCACATGGGGTCATTTGACCCCACAATTTTTTATTTTTAAAAGAAAATAGTGTTTTGACCCTTTTATGACATATTTTGACACACTCATTACATAATGTCAAATAAAGTTGAAATATTGCATTCTTAATACCATTTTACAGTGCTCATGATCTAGTTTTTCGTTTGTTAATGTCGTGTGAAATGATTAAACATAGCAAAACTTACTCGCATCAAAGTAGACAGTTCCAAACTAATATTTAAATAATATGCTAACTTTTAAAATTCGTCGATGATCGTATACTATTTGAATTCACAAATCGCCTACATCATCTAGAAGCGCCAAACGGATATTGAAAATAGTTAAATATGTGTCAAACATCGCCTTAAAAGAGGCATCTAACTCGTTTTTCTTCAAAAAATTTCAATTATTTCATTAACTGTTATTATTTTTGTACGATAAATTTTTCAATGTAACTTACATCATTTTATTAGGAAATTTTACATGGCATATAACATCAAAAATTTTAGGATCGTTACGAATTATATGTAATTTGAATTATTTTCAAATTACTTTTGCATTAAATTTATATTTCATTTATTTCCTAAATTAAATGTGAATTTTATTTTAATCCATTTACTTTTTACATTTGATTCGATTTATTTAAGGTCAGCTCAACATCTGTCAACAAAATGATAAACAAAACTATACAATTAGCAAGATTCATAAAATAATATTGATAGCGGTATAATTATTTTCATTAATATTATATTATTATTTTTTAAAAATACGCTTTAAATTTTGACCTCACAACACAAAAATTCTGAATCTCCCCCAGCATATAAATATTCTCCTCCCAAAAAATATGTTTGCAAAAAGAAGAATTAGAATCAATTTCACCTCAAATTCCCCCAACAAGTCTTCAATTGATTCCACCAAAATATGAACGAAACCAGAAAGAAAACAAAACATTTTCCCTGTAATAACAACATCGTCTTGCTCTCTACATCTTCAAAAATCAAATCAACCTTTCAATTGCTGCAAGTGTCGTGCTATCTGAAAGTACAACTTTTGCTCATATGTACTTTGATCCTCAATCTCATTCCTTTGGTCACCTCAAGTTCCTCGTAATTGCAATCCAAGCCCTGCTCTTCTAATTTGTACCAAGTCGGTCCCCATTGCACATTATTTTTACCTGATTTTCATTTTTCTTTCTCCTAAAATACGTATAACATCGAGTTTTATGTAAACAAACAATGTTTACGCGACATTAAGCAATGATTCCCCAAAAGTACCATATACATCCATATTTTAGAAAGGTAAAATAAGTGTAGAAAATATACGTATCATTCATCCTACGTCCCCACATTCAACATTTGCAAAAATGTTTGAGTGCTTTGTTGACTACAATCACGCTTAACTATTTTATCACTAGTGGCATAGAAAGGCAAAGAAAAAAGGCTAAAAATTATAATTGATGGGGTCGAATTTATTTGTTCAATATGTAATAATTTTCTTTGGTAAATTAATTTAAACCATTTGTTTAATAATGTTAAAAAAATGACAGGCCCCCGATATAACCTTAAAAAAAAAAAAAAAAAAATCAAACGTAGGTCAATGGTTAAGAATACCATAAAATGAAATAAAATAAAATAAAATAAAAATGTGGCAAGTTCGTAAAATCGAAGGATTTGCCAACCAACTGCCTATAAACAATAGCATCAGTTGTATTCAAAGCGGAGGAAGAGGGAACAAAGAATATAAATAGGAAAAGAGAGAAAATATATACAAGAAGATACATATTATTCATTAGCAGTTTGGCAGGAAATCCAGAAAAACCTGGCATTCTGCTTTTGTTCTCTGATTCCCTTTTGTGGAATCAGAGGATCAATCATCATAATCACTTCTCATCTCCCCACAATTTTGATTTGTTTTCTTTAATTATATACCTAGCATTCTTGAACTATTCTTGAAATGGGATTTTGAAAAAAAAAAAAAAAAGGAAAGAAAGAAAGAAAAGAAAAAGGAAACAAATCAGAAAAGTGGGATTTTTCTTTCTTTTCTTGGGAGTTCTTGGTAAAATGGGAATGGTAGAAATTGAGGGGAAGATGCAGGGGTGGCTCTATCTGATCCGATTCAACCGTTTTGGGATGCAATACTCACGTAAAAGATATTTCATTCTTGAAGACAATTGCCTCAAGAGCTTCAAATCAATTCCCACGTCTGAGACAGAGGTACATCTTGTATTTTCCTATGTTGTACTTCCATACAAACATGCATGTGTATCTATATATATGCATTTGTTAATTTCTGCATGTATGATGTATATGTTAATTTCTGTATTTTCATCGATTTATGTTTTATTGCTATGAATATAACCAGTTTGGCGAATATGATTTTTGGTAGAGACCCTGTTTTATGAAAATATAAAATTGAATTGCCTTTTTTAAGTTGAAATTGTAATATACGAATTTTGGATGTTCTTTACTGAGGGTAAGAAACATGTTCGTGGTGTTTTATGAATGTTGGCTTCTTCTTTTTGTTGATTTTTGGTTTTAGCATTTAATTGACTGTGTTTTTACTTTTTATGCTTCATAATTATGTCTCATTGAATTTGTTTTTATTTATTGCCTTTAATTCTTTTGTAATGATGAATGTAGTGTTATAATGTATTCTTCCTCATTTCATTTGAGGTTTTATAACTTTTATTTATTTTCTTCTAACTCCCTCTGATAAAGCAAGTTGTATAAAATCCATTTTGATATATGGTTTTATGTTAGGCAGATATTCGATTAAAATATTGTATCCGAAGTTTGATTAGCAATCGCAACCTAAAACCTCCATCTAAAGAAGAGATTACAAATTTTCTCCCACACTTCCATGCTTTAGGATTTCATTTTTGAAAGACAATAAATATATTTTCACGCCTGCAAAGTCTTTGGAAGGAACATGGATGATTACATGTTTAATTTACAATCCAAAATTTTCTATTATTCCGGCATTGAATGTCTGGTATTGTTTGTGCTTCAAAAAGTTAAGTAGAATTTCCTTTTTTGTGCTTAATTTAAACCTCCATGAATTTCAGTAATAACTCGTAAAATATTCTTGAAAGAACTACATTTATCTGACTAATGTGTAATTGCAAAATCTCAACATCCGTTCAGTCCCCAATTGAGGAGTTCTATGACGTAGTTGAGATCTAACTTGGAAGGTGTGATTACTATATATGATGACGTGAAACTTTATTATGATCCTGACCAATTTGTGATATTTGTCGACCCATTCTTCTGTCAGGAGCCTGTGAGAAGTGCAATAATAGACTCCTGTATTCGGGTTACAGATAATGGAAGAGAGAGTCATCACAGAAAAGTATGTCACTTGAAATTACTTTGCTTCCACTTGATAAATAAACAAAAACTGAAAGCTCTACTTCTGCACGTGTATGATTTTTCTTTTCACCTGCAGGTGTTTTTCATTTTCTCCTTGTATAATACTTCTAATCATAATGATCAACTGAAGGTATGTATTCTTTTTCTGTTGATTCTCAAAGAATTTATGCTGATGCATGACTGTTGTCACCTGTATGATGACCTTGTACTCTTTTCAAATTTATAGTTGGGGGCAATCAGTTCGGAAGAAGCTGCTAGGTGGATCCGTTTTTTACAGGATGCTGCACTTAATCCTGTTAAAAACTTAAAAGCTTCTTCAAAAAGGAAGTGGCAACCTTTTAGGTAAGTGGTAACCTTCCTTTGCTTGCCGTAAATCCTTGCCGTGATATTCTTTCAAAGATAAAAATTTTCAAAAAACTGAATGTTAGGACTTTATTTAGATGTGTGATGTCTAATTCTGACATTATTCCCAAAGCCTATATAGATATCTTGCGAGGTTGAAATTCATCGTATCTAACTGTTATTTATGAGCGGTTATCTCAGTTTAAATCTTATTGAAGATGATTACACACTTGGATGTTTGATCCTGTCAATTGAAGTTAACTTATGCTTATCAGACTAAATTGAACTTAACAACTTCTTTCGTATAATCCACTAAATAAGCCGTACTCATTTTGAGGGATGCTGAGTGTCTCTGCTTAACCATTTTTACTTTTGTTCCCCTTTACCACATTCGTGTGTGGTTTCACTGCATGAAGTCCAACTACCTTCATTCGGTTTCATTTTTTTTTTTTTCCCTCTTTCCATTCCTTTTTCTTCTAGCTTCTTTAGCTTTTTACTCTGCGTGTGTATCGGGTGGAGGGGTTGTGATCCCTGGTTTTACATGTTTGTATACATTGTTCCACTGACTATAACTTAATTTATCATCGTACTTACAGCTTGAGTGTTTCAAAGGGAATGGCGAACAAAAGGTTGACTTATGCATCTTCTCTGCAAGTGGATGCGATGACATCCGACGTAATTGCACCTTCACCTTGGAAAATATTTGGTTGTCGAAATGGTAAGAAGGCACTTTTAAGTACTTACAGGTGGAAATTGACCTTTGTTATTCAGAGATTACAGTTGATGGTTGCATTTTGCCACCTCTTCAGGATTAAGGCTCTTCAAAGAAGCGAAAGACAGAGATTCTAATGGGAGGGTGGATTTCTCTTTAGGCCTATTATCATTGAGTAATGTTATTCATCATTATAATGATGAAACATCGGTGATGTGGCAACATATTATCTCTCACATTTCTCTCTCTCTCTCTCATAAAAATTGAACTTCCCAATCCCATTATTTCACGTAAACTGCCACAATGTTCCATCATCGTAATGATAAATAGCATTATTCATTATCATTAATCCTTTAAGTTAACTACATATTTTTTCTTCTTGACATATTTTTGAATGGTTATTCTCAGCATTGGGGCGATCACCCAGCAATAATGGCAGTTGGTGTCATCGATGGAACATCAGAAGCTGTTTTCCATACCGTTATGTCACTCGGACCCTCGAGAACAGAGTAAACATTTTTGGAATTTCTCCCTTTTGGCAAACCTATTAATAAGCATGTTGTTTTTATGTTCCTAAGGAACACATAAGTGATACATAAATATTTATTTTTGTTAATGACAGTTTTAGCATTTGCTCGGAGATTTAGGGAAATTAATAAAAAGCTCTAAATCTTTTAACTTCTATCATCTAGTCTAACTTTTTAACGCTTTCACTTTTAAGAAACAAGAGAGTTGGAGTTCTCGCATTCAAATTTTTTAAAAAATTAATTGATGTAGCATAACATAGACATAGAAGCAATCACATGGAAGGAAAAGAAAGGGGAGTAGAAACCAGATAAAAGAAAGAGAAAGAAGTAGGAGAAGAAGAGAAGAGGAGGAGGGGCGGTGGAAAAGGGGAGAATGCCTGCAACACTCCAATTTTCATTTCATTTCCATCAATCCGTCCCTTTCCTATGCAAAGGCTGTATACATATATATAATATACAAAACAAAGAGACTGGGCTTGGGTCAGCCCAAAACACTATACAAGCCCAAAGCAAAATAAAATAGGCCTGGGCCAATACAAAAACATAATACAAGCCCAAATAAAATACTAAACTAAATAGTCCAAAGTAGATATCCTCATCAACTCTTCCGGGGTAAAAGAAAACTCGACTCTGTCGAGAGAATAACTCACAAAAGGCTGCAATCAGTTGTCCAACCATAAGCTGATGGTTGAACAAACCTCTTCCGACGTCCATATACATGTGTGATAGGTGATCTAGGCAATGGGAGATCATGCTGACTCCTATAAAGCTCCAACAAGTCAGGATCAAGCTTCTAGAGTGTCTCTCTAGAGATTCATGTACAATCTGAGTCAGGTCAGCCTACCTAACGAATAAGAAAGTGCTGAATTTCTCCATCATTAGTCAACATAATCTGTTCATTTAAAATAGCATCAATCTTTTCTTTGGGTATTGTGATATGGGGTGTTAAAGTAGGGTAGCAATCGGTTCAGGTTGGAGGTCAACAAATGGAGGTAGAAAAGGATCGTTGGAGGGTTTAAAATGGCCTTTATAAGCAACTAAATCCTCAATATTGAAAGTAGAGTGGTAGCCAAAATGTGATGGACGATGAATGAAATACGCATTTGGACTAACACGTTTTAAAATTTTAAAACGACCAGCGCTGCGGGCTTGTAATTTGGAAGCAGATCTAGATGGACGCCGTTCCGGTGTAATTCAAATTATCACATAATCCCTAATATTAAATTCAACATGTCGTTTATGCAAATCAGCTCGAAGCTTATGTGATGCATTATTTGCTTCTAGTTGTTTATTGATCTCAATATGCAAGTCATGAAGATGTCGTACAAAAGCCTCAGCTGACACAGACACCTTAGCATGTGGGGACATAGGGATAATGTCTAAAGGCTTCCTGGATTTATAACCATGAACAATTTCAAAAGGACTCATGTCTAAAGACCGATTCACAGAACTGTTGTATGCAATTTGGGCTATTGGGAGGATTAAATCCCAGTTCCTCAGATTTTCCTGAACTAGATGCCTTAAGAGGTTACCAAGACTGCGATTAACAGCTTTAGTTTGACCATCGGTCTGAGGATGATATCCAATAGAAAATTTCAACTTAGTACCAACCATGTGCCATAAGGTTCTCCAGAAGTGACTAGTGAACCATACATCCCCATCTGACACAATGGTCTTAGGAAGGCCATACAATTTAACAATCTCATTAAAGTACAGTCTAGCAACCTTAAACGCATCTGAAGTCTTGCTGCAAGGGATAAAGTGGGTCATTTTTAAGAAATGATTCACTATAACATAAATAGAATCATGTTTCTTTGGAGTATGTGGGAGTCCTAGTACAAAATCCATACTGACGTCTTGTCAAGGACAACTAGGGACGGGAAGAGGTGTGTAAAGACTAGTGTTTTGTCTCTTCTATTTGGCCAACTGACAGGTGTTACAAGCACTAACTATCTTATTTACATCTGTCTTCAAATGAGGCTAATAATGAAGTTTAACCTCTTCGATTGTCTTATCATGTCCAAAATGCCCAGCCAAGCCTCCTGCACGACTTTCCCAAACTATAAAGTCTTGTACTGAAATCCGAGGGATGCACAATTTATTGGACCTAAAAAGATCAGTAGCATCCAATTGTCTACTTTGCAACGCAAGGAAAATGTCCTTAAAATTCGGACATGACTCATAATCTTCTTTGAGTCGTTCAAAACCTATGACCTTGACACTCATATTGATTAAAAGTGAAATGTGGTGGCTTAAAGCATCCACCGCTTGATTTTCACTACCCATTTTATGCTTCAAAATAAAAGAGTAGGCCTGCAAATACTCGATCCAACGACCATGCCTAGCATTCAACCTCTTTTGGGAATTAAGGTAGCGAAGTGCCTCATGGTCCGAATAAAGAACAAATTCCTGAGGCAACAAGTAATGACGCCAATAGCGTAAAGCTTGTACGACTGCATACAACTCCTTTTCATAATTCGAGTATCGTCGTTTGGCATCATTTAATTTCTCACTGAAATAAGCAATAGGGTGGCGCTCTTGGCTCAAAACTCCACCTATCCCTACCCCAGAGGCATTACAATCTCCTTAAAGTACAGTCTAGCAACCTTAAACACATCTGAAGTCTTGCTGCAAGGGATAAAGTGGGTCATTTTCGAGAAATGATTCACTATAACATAAATAGAATCATGTTTCTTTGGAGTATGTGGGAGTTCTAGTACAAAATTCATACTGACGTCTTGTCAAGGACAACTAGGGACGGGAAGAGGTGTGTAAAGACCAGTGTTTTGTCTCTTCTATTTGGCCAACTGACAGATGTTACAAGCACTAACTATCTTATCTACATCTGTCTTCAAATGAGGCTAGTAATGACGTTTAACCTCTTCGATTGTCTTATCACGTCCAAAATGCCCAGCCAAGCCTCCCGCATGACTTTCCCAAACTAAAAAGTCTTGTACTGAAGTCCGAGGGATGCACAATTTATTGGACCTAAAAAGATCAGTAGCATCCAATTGTCTACTTTCCAACGCAAGGAAAATGTTCTTAAAATCGGGACATGACTCATAATCTTTTTTGAGTCGTTCAAAACCTATGACCTTGACACTTATATTGATTAAAAGTGAAATGCGGTGGCTTAAAGCATCTGCCGCTTGATTTTCACTGCCCATTTTATGCTTCAAAATAAAAGAGTAGGCCTACAAATATTCGATCCAACGACCATGTCTGGCATTCAACCTCTTTTGGGAATTAAGGTAGCGAAGTGCCTCATGGTCCGAATAAAGAACAAATTCCTGGGGCAACAAGTAATGACGCCAATAGCGTAAAGCTTGTACGACTGCATACAACTCCTTGTCATAATTCGAGTATCGTCGTTTGGCATCATTTAATTTCTCACTGAAATAAGCAATAGGGTGGCGCTCTTGGCTCAAAACTTCACCTATCCCTACCCCAGAGGCATTACATTTTACCTCAAAAACTTTGGAAAAATCAGGAAGTCGCATGACTGGAGCTTCTGTCATTCGCCTTTTAACCAACTTAAATGCTTTGGCCGCTTCGTGCGACCAGTAAAATTTCCCTCTTTTCATGCACTCTGTAATAAGAGCCATGATTGTGCTAAACCCTTTAATGAAACGACGATAAAAGGTAGCTAAACCATGAAAACTCCGAATGTTATGTATAGTCTTGGGCTCAGGCCAATCAACAATGACCTGAATCTTTCCAGGGTCAGCAGACACTTCTGTCGCGGAGACAATAAAACCTAGAAAGACAACTATATCTGTGAAGAAAGAACATTTCTTTACATTAACATATAGGCTTGTAGCGCGAAAAGTAGAACAAACCTGTGTGAGATGATCTCTATTTTGTTCCCTAATTTTACTGTACACGGGAATGTTATCAAAGTAGACAACGAGGAATTTACCCATGAATGGTCGCAAAGCTTGTGTCATTTGGTTAGCCCAAAAGGCATGACTAACCACTCATAAAGACCATCATTCGTTTTAAAGGCAGTCTTCCATTCGTCATCCAGGCGAATCCTAATTTGGTGGTACCCACTCTTTAAATCAATCTTAGAAAATATCATGACACCAACCATCATGTCCAACATATCATCAAGCCTAGGGATTGGAAAACGGTACTTTACTATGATCTTATTGATGGCACGACTATCAACACACATTCTCCAAGAATCATCTTTCTTAGGAGTCAAAAGGGCGGGAACCGCACAAGGACTTAGACTCTCACGAATAAATCCTTTGTGAAGGAGCTCCTCTACTTGCCTTTGAAGCTTAGCATGCTCAGTAGGATTCATTCTACAATGAGGTAAATTTGGAAGAGAAGATCCAGGGACAAGATCTATAGCATGTTAAATGTCCCATAAAGAGGGCAATAGATCAGGGAGGTCTTCAGGAAAGACATCTCGAATCTCTTGAAAAACTGACTGGACCTTATCAGGGGTCAATATTGGAGATTCCGATGGAACTTCCATGACGACCACGACAAACACAACAGAATCCTCTTTGAGTGTACGCTTAAATTCTGTAGGGCTAATCATATGTAACTCTTTCCGCTCCACAATTTTCTTGGTTTGTTTTGAATTAACAGGTTTTGGCGGTAAAGGATTAAGGTGAATCTTCTTCCCATTGAACACAAAGGAACATGAATTTGACCGACCATGGATAGTGACATCTAAATCGAACAACCAGGGTCAACCAAGAATGACGTCGCACCATATATGATCTTTGTATTCAAGAAACTGGATAGAAACCAAACAATGCTCGTTTACGGCACTAGAAGAAGTGTCAACCCAAGAGACGCTATAAGGTTGAGGGTGTGGGACTGGCTGTAATCCAAGACGGGACACCGTGGCCACAGAAACTGCATTAATGCAGCTACCACTATCCACAATAATTTTAAAACCCTTGTTATTGATCTTGATATAAGTGTGAAAAATGGCGTGACGACACTAGTCATCAGCATCTTTAGGGTAAGCGAGGGTACAGCGTACAACACTTAGCCGCAAGGTGTCAAGGACAGAGGTCACAGAACCTAGATCTACAGGGAAGGTTCGGATGCAACCTAATAAGGTATCCTCAATATCATCTAAATCATCAAACTATTCAAACTTAGGTTCATAGACTTGATCTTCTAATGACTCACATTCTACATCTTTACGTTCCTCAATGACTAAAGCTCGACTAGAATATCTAGATGCGATATGACCAAAGCCTTTACAACTGAAGCACTGCAGGCGAGAAGAAGTTTTTGAAATTTCGGGAGCTTTACCCTTATTTTCCAACACAGGGGAAACATTATATGGGGGAGGCCCTAGGAGGGACTTAACAGGTGGAGGTGGCACGGATGAGACGGAAGGACGATTGTCAACACGCCTTGCATATGGAGTCTTAGTAACTAACTCATAATCTTGGACTAAAGAATAAGCATGATCAAGGGTAGTGACACCTTGAAGTATAAGCTCACGCCTAAGATCATCTTTTAGGCCCTGTCTAAACCTACTCAAAGTCATTGTCTCATCCTTAACGACATGACATCGCATTCGAAATTCATCAAATTGAGTAACACAGTCAGTCACTGGTCGATTTCCCTGTGTAAGGATATTCCATTGGTCCAACAAGTTGCCCTTGTAAGATTGGGGCAAATACTTCTCTTGAAGGCGACGCTTTATTTTCTCCCAACTTTCAACTGGAGGTGCATGATGCTTCTCAAGGAGATCCTCAACACTTTTCCAGAAAGGTTTGGCGGTGACAGTTAATTTCAGACTGGCAAATTGGACACGTCGATCATTTAAGACTTCATACCATGCCAAGAAACGATCCATGTCTCTAATCCACTGAGTAAAAACTCTAGGATCTAAGCAACCATCAAAAGTAGGAGCGTCTAATTTGATGTTTCTAAAGTAACGCTCATCATGGCGTGGAGGAGAATGATTATCGCGACGGTCATGGCCTCGTTTTGGCTCACGGCCCTGATCTTCATTCCTTTGATCATGTCGAGAATGTTGTCGACCACCTGGTCGACAATAATAGTGAACATTATGAGACGCTTCAGAGTTATCAGCGTCAGTCGAATGAGGGATTTGTTCAAAATTGTCCAACCTTGCAGCTAGGTCTCTACTCTCTTCACGAGTAGCAGCCATCTCAGTTTGGACAGCCGCTATTTGAGTCTGTAAATGTTGCTGGCTAGTGACAAGCTGAGCTAATTGTCTAGTGAGTACATCAAACTGTGAGAGGTCCATGGTGAATGTACTAGAACTAGGTGTGACTAGACGATCACTACGCAACTGCATGCAATGTAATACCAGCTAAATGACTTGCGATGGAGAAATCAATGAACAACAAGTATAAGTAACGAAAAATAGTAACTTGAGCATTTAAACTAAAGGTTTGGGATTAATTAAGTCCAAATACGACAAGCTAATACTGCTGATAGTTGTAAAATAACAAAGCAATGGTCAAATTACCAGTCAAAATATAATCACGTAAAATAAGTGGGATAAAAGTGAGGTTTAACAAGGGTTCAATCATGTAATTTTAGGCAAAGTAATGTAATAGCAGAACAATAATTAATTGATGCGATTTTAAATTAACAGTAATATAGACCAAATATAAATAAAAACAGTAACTTCCCTTTTTGTTCGTTGAAGTAACTGGGTCGATCAACAGGAAAAGAAGAGGGACCTGTAAAACAATGTTAGAAAAGACAATTATTTTTTTTTCGCTTTTTTTTTTTTCACTTTCTCTTTTCTATCCTTTTTTTTTTTAAACTTACAAAATCAAATAAATAAACTTACTACAAATCAAGACCCAAACACTAATGGAGCCCCAAAACACACACTACCCATTTAATATAAGCCCAATAGTAATATATGACCTAACACACACCAAGCCCAAAGTAAAATCAGAGGATTCACGCAAGCTAAAATGGGAAATCGAGGGCTGGCGATGGAATTTGCATTGATTGTGACGGGCGACAGTATTGTGAGGGTGATCGACGGTCGGCGTCCCTGATGGTCATGAGTGGAGGTGGCGATCGTTAGGTGGGTGCTTCAGGTTGTCGCGAGCGGTCCAAGTTCGAAAAGAAATTGGTTCAATTTCTAGTTGCTGTACTTTCAGATGGGTTGGTTTATGGTTTGTTGGGTAACTTGTATGAGTTCGAGTAGGGGTGTTAGTTGATGTTGGGCTGGTGAAGTTCGTGGGCAGCTCGATGATGCAATGGGCTACTGACGAAGGAGGCAGAGTTGGTGACTAGTTTTTGTAACAGCGGGTTTGGAGTTGCTTTGGTGTATATGTATGTAATGGATGAAGATGCTGGAAGTTGCAGGGGGCTGTGTTTATATGCGTGTATGGTTACTAGGTTTTGTAGCAAGGGATGAAGTTTGAAGATGGTGGTGCTAGGATATGCAGGTTATGGGATGCAGAAAAATGATCGACTCCAGGTTGGACTCTGATACCAAGTTGATGTAGCATAACATAGACATAGAAGCAGTCACATGGAAGGAAAAGAGAGGGGAGTAGAAACCAAATAAAAGAAAGAGAAAGAAATAGGAGAAGAAGAGAGGAGGAGGAGGGGCGGTGGAAAAGGGGAGAATGCCTGCAACACTCCAATTTTCATTTCATTTCCATCAATCCGTCCCTTTCCCATGCAAAGGCTGCATACATATATATAATATACAAAACAAAGAGACTAGGCTTGGACCAGCCCAAAACACTATGCAAGCCCAAAGCAAAATAAAAAGGGCCTAGGTCAATACAAAAACATAATACAAGCCCAATAAAATACTAAACTAAATAGTTCAAAGTAGATGTCCTCATCATTAATCCTCTCAGGCGATTATTTGAAGTGAAGGCAATCGATATTTGTCGTGCTATAATGATCCAGCAATAAACTTAGTCCATTTGGTAGGATTGGACAAAATAACAAACGAGATTTTGGCTTATTTTTCTTCCCTAATATTGTCTTTTACTATCGAATCCTCCTTATCAAACATGCCATCACGGATTTCCAACCTTTTGAATACTGGAAATTGGTGCATTAGGATAAATGCACTGAGTTTTCCCGAAATCAATCATTTCTTATTCTTTTGGAGGTTAACCATTCAAGTGTTCTTATGCAGATGGGATTTTTGTTTCTATAGAGGCTGTGTGGTCGAGCACCTTGATGGCCACACGGATATAATTCACATCCAATTATACAACCATTGGCTACCATGGTAAGAGGCTCACAATTTCTACTTGAACCCATTTTATAATCATGCTATTATTGAACACCTTTCTGTTTTTCAGGGCAATGAAAAGAAGAGACTTGCTGCTTCGACGTTATTGGAGAAGAGAAGATGATGGAACATATGGTGCTTTTTAACTGAGAATTTTGAAATGAATGTGTAATTGTTACCAAATAATCAAATTTTCTCATGCAACGTTTTGCTGCAGTAATCCTCTATCATTCCGTGTTCCACAAAAAGTGTCCTCCTCAACATGGATATGTTCGTGGTTACGTTAAAAGTAATGTATGCTTAGATTTGGAAAATTTTAATGCCTTATTTTCTATCATTAATGTCAGCAGGCTTAAGCTCTTTTGTTTAGTTTTCTATTATTTTGACCTATATGCTGCATTTCATTTTTCTTCTGCTAGTGAGAAATAGAAGAACAAATGTTCCTATTTTTTGTATTACTGTGAAATATAGGAGATATCATGCATATTGAAAAAAATATTTAACCACAATTTTGCTCTATCGGTATGCACTTGCTCGACAAACTCAAGGTTATGACAACCAAACCAGTTTACTTATTGTGAAACATTTGGTTACTCAAATGTATCAAGAAAACCATATCAATGTGTCTGCTAATGATTGTCAGCATAACCAATTTTTGGGGTACAACTAGGATTTGTATCCTCGACTTTTGATCAAAGGGTCGCATTAATTTATATGGAAAACTCAAACTTCTCTATGTTTAATATCTTCTTCAAGGGACAAAGAAAAGATAGCAAAATCTCATAATTTTAAATCAATTTATTCCTCTATTGAAGTTCACTCATTTAATGCCATGAAGGGTTGAAATACCTGGGAAATATGTTTTTTTGTTGTGAAATATATTTTTCTTTACATCTTTAATTAAACAGGTGGTGGATTTGTGATAAGTCCTGTGAAACAAGGTAAAGAGTGTGTTGTAAAACACATGCTGGCTGTTGATTGGAGAATCTGGAAATCCTACCTAATGAAAGCATCTGCAAGAACTATAACTATCAATTTTCTTGAGAGAGTTGGAGGTAAAAATACTCGTTACTTTTCAATTAAAGCTTTCCAGGCTTTTCGAACCAAATCTCACTAAAATGGATGGAATCCTTTTTGCATATTGCAGCATTAAGAGAGTTTTTCGGAGCAAATAGCGAAAATAATTGCCATGAATTTTTATCGGGAGAGATAACAAGAGAAATCGGGGTGCCTCATTGTGAAAAGGAGGATATCAAAACTGAAATTGACTTGATGGGGATGGAGAGTGTAACAGAAGATGAGCCACGGCCTTCAAATCTTATGGGACTGAATGATGCAGTTGATGAATTTTTCGATGTTCCTGAACCATCCGATGATGAACGATCCCAGAATGAGTGGCCTTTGATCATGAGTCCAGAATTATGTTATATGGTATTTTCTGTTGTCATATTTTTACTTTAAATCGTATTTTTCGTACTATTTCTTGCATTGAAGCATGTCCCATCTTATTCTTAAGTTTTTCTTTTTCAGAAATTCACTTTCTTGATAAATTTAATGATGACCACACTGTGGGTTTCTATTCTGAATGTTGTGATTAAAATATATATATGAAATGTGGAGAAACGAAACTGATTGGTAAGTAATTAGGATGCTTAGAGCTTTATTAACATGATGTAATTGCTGGATTGGTTTTTGAGTTTGATAATGATCCACTGAAAGCAAGGATACTCATCACATAATCACTTTTATGTTTAATCTGATGTCCGTTATATTATGTTATTATTTAGCAAATTTTACCTACGGTCACTCATTTAAATGTTGGAAATCAAAGCAATCTACTACTTTTGATGCTCCGATGCTGCATCTCATCTCAACTGGCATTCTGCGGTACATGAATGAACTTCACTGCTTCTGACACTAAGCTTTCACCCTGAGATATGCAGGATAAGTACCAGCCTAAATTGCCATCCGCTGCCAATTTCATGAAAAAATTACATCATCTTGCAGGTTGGCCACGTTAGGATGATTGCAACTATGATCAATAGATGCGAAGGTATACTTCAAACAAATTTAAATTGGGAATGACTCGAATTTTTTGTAATTTTTGCAGTCCAAAAAAAGGGTTACTCAGACTTGCAAGATATATCTTCGGAAGACAGCACATCATGCAGTTATGGAGCCACACTTCCAAAAGATCCAAGTTTGAATATCCCTTGTAGCTGGGCAGCTGCTGATCCATCCTCATTTTTAATCCGTGGTGATAATTATTTAGAAGATCGTCAAAAGGTTGCAGTTTGATTTCTTTCTTTTACTTGGTAAAAAGTGCTCACTTAAAAAATGTCAGCTGAAAAATAAATTATTATGAATATTTGTCATTTCTAATGACATCAAGTCACTTTTATGAAAGAAGCTCTCATTCATTTGAATGATGAGATCTCAGTAAACAGGTTAAAAGAGCAGGGGTAAACTTAAACAAACGTGGTCAATTGTGGTTGTTGAGCATCTAGTTGCTTTGAATCTTCCAGAACATTTCGAAATGATCCGAATAGAGCAGTAAAAGCAAAATTTATGTAGCCAACCCCAGATTTTTATAAAAAGCAGGCTTAGTTTGATTTCTTCAATGTGCATGACTTACTGGGATATACTTTTGAGTAAGAAAAGAAAGATCAAAATGGATGACTCCACAAAAATAAATTTCTTGAGGCTGCAACCTCCAAACTGCAGGATTTATCGAGGGAGAGACCGTTAGAAAAGAGGAGTTCACCGCTTTTTGATTTCGGAAGGGATTTTCTGTTATTATCTATTACATTTACAGATAAAAAGGAATGTGTTTCCATGAATAAACCAATGATAAAAAGGAATGAACTGCTACCAATGTGTTTCATTCTCTTCTGAGAATTATACGTGCAATTTATTTTGTATAATCTGCTCATTTTACAATGAAATCGTTATTTCAATTTCTAATTCTGGAAAATTGTTTTGTTTAATCAGATCAAAGCAAAAGGTACTTTGATGCAAATGGTTGCTGCAGATTGGATAAGATCTGACAGGCGTGAAGATGATCTTGCAAGTCGCCCTGGAGGCATCGTTCAGGTTTGCTATATCATTTCTAAATTTTTTTTATGATTGTGAATTGAATTAGTTAAAAACAGTATATCTGCAAACACACACAGAAATATGCAGCTCAAGGAGGACCGGAGTTCTTTTTTGTCATTAACATTCAGGTAACTCTAAATCTTTTATTAAGTTCCATCTCCAGTTCATTTAGAATTTAGTGTGTGATTGATGTTTGGCTACTGAATCAGGTTCCAGGAACAACTCCACATAATCTTGCCCTATATTACATGCTAACAACTCCCTTGGAAGAAACGCCTTTGTTAGAACGCTTTGTCAATGGAGACGATGCTTTTAGGAACTCAAGGTTTAAGCTTATTCCATACATTTCAAAGGTAGTTGGGCATACGGAATTTAAAGATTTACCCCTTTTTCCATATTAATCTCTTCAAACTTTAAACAATTTAAGTCGCTGATGTTCATAGGGATCTTGGATAGTAAAGCAGAGCGTCGGAAAGAAAGCTGGTTTGGTAGGTCAAGCACTCGAAGTCCATTATTTTCGAGGAAACAACTACTTGGAGGTAAAACTCAAAGATTATGTGGTTTTCGAGTTTTTACTTCACATGCTCTCACTGAAAAAGTGAAAACGCAGAGAAATTCTAGTTACTAGAGTAAAATTCTTCACGTCTTACCCTTTACACTGCATTTGGATTTTCAGCTTGATATTGACGTTGGATCATCCACAGTAGCGAGAGGCGTAGTTAGCCTGGTTCTTGGATACCTTACCAATCTTGTCATAGAAATGGCATTTCTAATACAGGTAAAACATCATCATCCTGAGGTGATAATTTCTCAAAGGATTCTCAGTGTCCATAATTGGAGTATGGAGCAGACCAGTTTACATCAATCTCCATCTAATTCAAATTGTTTCTGCTAATTATTTAACCGTTGTACACCTTTCATTTAGGCAGTTGCTTTGGATCTTTTAGTAGATCCAGCAATGAATCAAAGGGAGTGGCAGAAAAGGGTTTGCACCTTAATTTTTATTGAGAACAAGGCTTTTGTTTGTAGTTTATACTCCCTAAAAATAAGGGAAATAGCGAATGAAAGTGTATGACATTGGAGTCAAAGAATTCATAGGTACTTGCCAATCATGTTTTAAGTTGCTTTAGATCTTTTACTAGATCTAATAATGAACTTAAAAGATTAAATGGTTCGAAAATGATTCTTTAACTGATCCCAAATTTATCGAAAGGCTTAGTTGGCCGATTAAACTTCCTAAAAACCACGAATTTAACGAATGGAAGTGCATGACTTTTGAGTCGAAGAATTCATAGATACCTACGAACCATATTTCTGCTTTTTTCGGTTTGAGATTTGGGCTGAATTTGCAGGGTAACATAGAGGAAGAACTGCCGGAATTTCTGCTCGGAACGTGTCGGCTTAATCATCTAGATGCCTCAAAGGCAGTTTCTGCTGATTCCATTGGAATTAGTTAGACAAATTGTAAAGTGCAGTCTAGTATACATATGAAGAGAAAGATGGAATGAGAAGTAATCTCAAATTGGTTCATGTAGGAGTTTATTCTCACAAGTGATGCTTGTAATTACTGCTTATTCTATTGATCATAACATGTATATCCTATTCCTTAAGAGTTAATTGTAGAATGATGGAAAATAAGCATAAAAAGATGATCGCCATTTCGGTTGGACTGCAAATGTTGATTTCACACGTTTGACGTCATTTGTTAGTAACATTCACCAGCATGGTAGCCATTTGTCACATATTGTCCTTCGCACACGTTTGGCAAAGCTCATCATAAGTACAATTACTTGCACGTAGATGGCATCTTGACCGAACAAAATCTACGTGTGTTTGTGGTAATCTTGCAAGGCTACTCGTGACATGACGATCTATGTGGATTTCGATTCATTCATTTATTTATTTTGTAATAAGAATAAAAAATAGTTAAGTCCCAAGTAGTCCCTAACATCGACTAGCTGAACTTGCCTTTTCATTGTCCAACTATTACATGCAACTTGAGAATGGGCTTGGGGTCTATTTGCAAATGGGCTTTGGACTGAAGTAAATCCAACAACCTACTTGCATAAGAGTCTCTTCAATTTCTATTTTATTATTCATCAAAACAGTGTGTATTTACGTAGAACCAAAACATGCTTTGTGGTTGTCACATTACATGTTAGTCACAACTCAAACTAATGCAAATATTAATTAATTTCAAACTAGTGGAAAATAAAGAATTGAATTGATGTTAAAAAAAATAAAAATAAAATCGCAGAGAAGAATGGTTTTCAACTAATACCTAGTAGTGATCTCAAATTGACTTGTATATATTATTTTTCACGTCCCCGTCACCTTAATTATATAATAAGAAATAAATTAGAGTATTAAATTATCTAAACCACGTAGCATAATCACAAAATTCAATTCACCATATTTTGCGATCCAACTCACATGTTACGGGACAACAAGTCGTAAGATTGAAAATAATTACATATAAAATATTGAATTAATTTTAGGAGAGACGATATCTTAAAGATTTTAAGATCCATAGAAGTATTTTGTACTAATTTTTTCGAACAATTTACACAGAAATACACAGTACAACTGTGTGGATTATGCAGTCAAATTTTGCGGCCACCGACGCAGCCCAAGGGGATCGTGCGGGGACCCATGAACCGGTGACCATCTCTTGCCGGTTAAGATGTAAATGTGTCAGGGTTGTTGCCTGATACAGCCGGTGCCATTGTCGGCGGGTATTAGTGTCGGCACCGACACGCAAGATTTATTACCGGTTCCAACTGGCGGAGTCGGTAACTCCAGTCTTGACAGAAGGGTGTAGTCTTCTAATTTCTTGAAGTCTTATGTCATTTTCGTTATTTAATTAATTTATAATTATAAGTCACTTGTGACAAGTTCATAAAAAAAATAAATGATGGTCTAGCATTTATAGTTATTAAATTGAATTATAGATTCTTAATTTATTAAATTGTTTTATTATTTTAGTCTTCTTGTTTGCTTAATTTGTAATTTTATGTCACCTGTAATAAGGTTATAAATAAGGATGGTCCCTCAAACTAATTTAGGATGATTTTAGCTCTTGTTTGATCTACTTAAAAATTAAAAATTAAAAATTAAAAATTAAAAATTAAAAATTAAAAATTAAAAAAAATGTCAAAGTTAATAAAACCAAATAGGGAATTTATTGCATTCAAGAGTGGGGCTTCTTATGTAGGGTTGTCCCTTCCCATTCTCTTCGTATTCTCCTATCTAATAGTGCATCAATAGTAGTTATTTTTACTTAGGGTGTGTTTGATTATATTTATTTTTTTCTGAAAAATATCAGTTTTCTACCCAAATTTCTATTTAGAGTGTTTGATTGCTCTTTTTTTTCACGGAAAATATTTTCCAACTTTTGAAAATAAGCCTAATTTTTCTTATTTTTAAGAAAAACATTTTCCTTGGGTAAATGTGTTTTTTATTTTCCACGAAAGACGAAAAATATTTTCTTTTCTATTTGATATTTTTCATGTCAATCAAATACACTCTTAGTTTTTTCAATTTATTAATTCCTTGCCAATCTATTGACTCGACCAACTCATTTTTAACAATTATATAAGAAATCATGTTTATTTCTTCAGAAAGTGTTATTCTATATGCGCGTTTAACAATGTAGAATAGAAAACTTATGTTTCATGACATGTTTTAAAAGTTAAATATATTATTTGGCATTATTCAATTCGAATAGGTTATGAATCATTTTTGTGAACTGTAAAATCGTAATAAAAAGTAGATATTCATACATCTTGTTATATTTCTCAACCATACTAGGTAAACAAAACTTTTGACATTCAAATCAATGGGAAGAAATAAGTACTATTAAATGGGTAATGAGATAGAGAAAAATAACATAGAAAATTCATCTTTGAAATTAACTCAAGATTTCGCTCTCAATTATGAGTAAAATGCTTTAATCAATCGGTAGAATCTCCGTATACAATTATCAAATTTGTTCGGATAGGTGGGAGGTACATGATCCTGTGTGCATGTTGTACAGAGAAAAAGGAATTAGCAAATCGGTGTGATCTTGACCGTTCAACTTACGCCTTCCGAACTCGAACTCACTACTCACGATGGGACTTGTCTTTTATCGAAAGGTAAATAGTAGCAAAAGTTCACAATCTTTCGTTTTATTTACAAATTCATCCCCAACCTTTTTTGGACAATTGTGTCTACCGAAAATTAGCAGCATTCATCCAAATAGATGATTTCTATCCATTCTTTCGTTAGTCAATCCAATTGAACTTTGCATTATAAAATAAAAAGGACAAATCGTTATTTTATCTAAAAAAACTCGTTAAAAGATTTGAGGAGATTTATTTAATGACAATCATCGAGGTAAGTCAAAGTAGAAACAACCAACTTTAATTGTGGGTTAACCTTGGTAATATACCGAGGCATCTTCGGTATTGCAAGTACATCCTCAACCTAATAGCTTTATCCTATCCACATGATGAAAGAATGTACAAGGTGATGGATGTCTAGATTGGTGCTTGACACACCAACCATTGGAAGCAAGGCACCAATCTTCACAACGAACAATTGTCTTTAAAAGGGCAATTATATCTAAGCTTCGCTCCAAAAAATAAGTAATGAAATATGTCACCTATTCAAACACCAGGACAAAGTTTTGTACTGGTTGGAATTGCTTTAAGGCACGGGTATTTTTTTTCTCTAACAATTTCACTTGAAGTGGTTGTGGAACAATACCCTTCTATCTGCCTGGTGGCGTTCGGCGTTCCAACTACTCAGTCAAATGTGTATGACTTGAAAAACGAAGGTGGCGCTTCCTCCCCCGTTTTACCTCCAGCGTGAGAATTAGTTCAAAGACTTGGAAAAGATGCGATTGGAATTCAACTTACTAAAGAGAGAGAGAGAGAGAGATCCCCTTACCTGTGTCACATCCGGGGATATTTATAGATATTGGGAGCTGGATAACTGCTGGATGATTATGGTGCCACGTGTCCCACGTTGGCATTCTCACTACCCCCACGTTCTTAATTGGGAGTCTTTAACTTCTCGTCTAGAGGTTGTACCCGTATCAACCGCCATGGAACCTAGTCAATTCACTAGAGGTTTTATGGCTAAATGTTTGGATGGACAATTCCATGCCAGTTGAAGATTTCGCGTAGAGGTAGAGCACCCCCTGGAGGTAGTGGTAGAGCGCCCTTGAGGGGGGTCGACGACTTCGCGTAGTGATAGAGCTCCCCTTGGGGGTAGTGGAAGAATGCCCCTGGAGGGTCGATGGTTGTGCATGGTGGTAGAGCACCACCTGGGAATAGTGGTAGAGCACCCCTTAAGGGGTCGGTGGCCTTGCATCGAAGTGCAGTGATTTATCTTGCTTGTCGTCGATGGTGGCTTCCTCTACCAACCTATATCATTAGCCCCCTCTATTCCTTGTCGATGTTTTCGGCAAGGGGTAGCAGTTTTTTTTTTTATCTGGGTTGGTTTGAAAAAATTTCTTCTTTTTTTTTTTAATTGATAAATGAGTAGTTCGTATTAGCAAGTTGAGAAATGCAATCAAAATCAACTAGCAATTTTACTGTACACATGGCACCCCATTAATGGTCCTAATGTTGGAGGGAATTTTCCTCCCCAAAAAGTTTGAATTCTTGTGTCTATAAAAGGGGGGTGATTTTTATTTCAAAGAATCACTTTCATTTTCTCTCAACATCCTAGGCTTTCTCCCTTCTAAGGTAAAATTCTCTCCTTTTTAATCCCAAGTCTTGCTTTGAATTTCTCTTCATCTTTTTTTTGTTGTCATGTATAAGACTATTCTTTCTTCTCATTCCAATGAGAATAGTGATGGGGGTGTGGTGACTCGACTGGACCCTCGTCGGAGGGTACCGGAGGAGGTCCGACCAGCCCTATGGCTGGTTGACCGAGGGCCAGCCTTCAGGCAAGCCATCGCCCGCCCTCTTCTGAACTTCGTGGCCCATCCGACCCCTCGACCCGACTCGCTAGTGACTCATCCCCTTTGTCCGGTAGATCTCTTTATGACATTGATAGTGAAACTCATTCAATCGATTCTCAGGCATTTGTCCCAAATTCCCCAAAGAGGTACATTAATTCTACCAAATTTCCAAACCAAAATTTAGAAATTGGACGAGACCCGATTGGTGAGGTTGTCCCCTTAGATATACTAAAAAGTTATAGTCTCTACAATTCACCACTTAAGTTGGAAAAATGTCTAGGTAAGTATGACCGGGTTGATGATTATGTCTATAGAGCCCCCGGTTCTAAAGAAAGACTCTCCGGGTCTGATCCCCACGAGGTAGCCGTGTACAGGAATGTTATGGACGGGGGTTTTCGATTCTCCATTCATCCCTTTTTTGTGTCGATTTTCAATGAGTATCACCTTACTCCTAGTCAAATTAATCCCAACGCGTGGATAAATGCGTTATATTTCCTATATGTTTCTCTAAAAAGGAAAATATCACTTTCCATAGACCTTTTTCAGATGTGTCTTCGAAATGCATGAGCTAGTTCAGTGTAATGCATTCGTCTATTTTACCACCGGGGTTCCTTTGCAATTTCCTAAATTTAGAAATTCAAATAGCGGATGGAAGTCCCGGTTCTTCTTCGTCCGGCCTTCAGCAGGTCGGTTCTCTTTTAACACCAATTGGCGACGCCCCCAAATTCGTCTCTTCAATAGCCAAGTACAAGTTACCCCCTTTCTAAATGCTCAAATCTAGGAGTTGGTTGGTGTACCGCCTCTCGCACCGGACTTAGGATCAGTCTTGACCATGAAGAACATGTTGATAGTGGGGATGAGTCGTCATACTGGTAGGTTGTTTCCGTCGATTTTTTTTATTGCATGCACACACGTTCACTTATTATTTTTTGCTTTTAGTTTTTCAGGACTGATGAGTTTGGGTGTGTGCATACAGATATGGACTTTGATCTTGATGAGGTATTGAAGACCCTACCAGGAGGCGATGAGGGCCCTGCTCTCGTTGATGGTAAGCTTTTGTGTTCACCTCCCCTTTTTTTGTTTTTTATCCTCATGCTCTTCTACCTTGCGATCTTAATGGATTCTAACTTACATGTGTTGGGGCAGAACTTGATCTTGAAGGGATCATGGATTCCATGCCTGACCACGGGCAGGGGGATGAGGCGGATCCATCACCTATCCATTCAAAGAGAAAGAGGGCGGCCGACCAAGGGGGGAAGTCTCGGGCGATCAACGAGACCTCCCAGCTTTCAGACGAGCCTCGTGAGGTGGCTCCAGCTCCTAGGCCGGGCGCTTCCAGCCGTGCACGATGTGAGCGCGAGGATTCACTTCCCAACTTCGGGTTTCCTCCTACCCGGGGCTATCATGAGATGGGGGTGCTCAAGTCTTTGGTGACGCTCGCTCGTTCTAGAGCAATTGCAGGGCATAGTGCAGACGACATTGAAAGGGCTGCGGCTGTTTATCTCCGGAGGGTACGTTTCCAATTTCACATTTTCTTTTATGTTGGGTCTTTCCTTTTAAGCTTGGTTTTAACGCTTGACTTTTATTCTACCCCCCTCATTTCTTAGGTGGTAGCCCTCCAGACCGGACTCACTGAATCGAATCGCTACCTAGTCTCGGAGTTGAAGACTCTTACTGAAGAAAAGAAAAAGGAGGCTCATCACTACAAGAAAAAGATATCCTCCTTGATAAAATCTCTGGAGATATCGGATGCTCGAGCTTGCGAGCAGGAGACGGAGACGACAACTTGCATTCTATTTTGGCTCGCGCTCCAGATGAGGCGATTGAGAGGTATAAGGCCTCAGCTGAGTATCTGTGGAGCAGTATAAGACGTCGTCTGATTATGCTAAGGCTTTGAATTCATATGGGGGGAAGGTGATGACAGCGTCTATCAAACTTTCCAAGGAGTGGATTATGACCGAGCATCCTTCTATAGACCCCTCTGGTCTAGATAGGTTTCTTTCGCAGCACAAGGGAAGGGGAGTGGAGCATAGTCATCCAGGTCATTTGGATGTTCATCACGAGGTGGTAGTGGGGATGTCTCCCCTTCAAGCTGAAGCATTTCTTAGTTGTTGTTTTCTTTGCTAGCTTTTCCTTTTTCGTGTTTATTTTTGTTTATTCTCATTATTTCCTACTTGTCCTGGGTGTGGGGAAGAATTTCTCATATGTGTAAACACATTTTTCGTTCGCTATTATTAGTGTTGAGTGCATTGTTCCTTCAACTTATCGTCTCTCATGTCGTCCTTCTTCTTTTTCTTTTCACTGTTTGATGGTGCGGGGGAGTGGCTGTCAGAGTTTAGTGGTCGATAGCCCTAGCTAATTTTAGCCTTGTGTTACCCCGTGCCTAGCCGTATAGGCTATGTCAACCGTCGAGAGAGGGGTCTAGTGATTAAGGGCCTTAGCCAATTTTTGGCTTGTTAAGGCTCTCCGCCTAGCCGCGTAGGCTATGTCGACCATCAAGAGAGGGGTCTAGTGGTTAAGGGTTTTAGCCAATTTTTGGCTTGTTAAGGCTCTCCGCCTAGCCGTATAGGCTATGTCGACCATCGGGAGAGAGAGGTCCAGTGGTTAAGGGCCTTAGCCAATTTTTGGCTTGTTAAGGCTCTTCGCCTAGTCGCGTAGGCTATGTCGACCATATGTTTTCATGGGATGAGGGGAAGTCTAAGACTGCATATCGGTATAAAAATACTTGGATTCGTGAGTTCAGTAGGCGCACCGGGACGTCCCAGCTGGGCTGGCCCTTCCTTAGCGCCCTCATCACTTGCTACTACCAAGATTTTTCATTGAATAAACAAATGCAACTAAGGGTGCCTCCGTGAGGCATTACATAGAGAGAATTAACAAGGCAATCTATCTACTGTATTTACAAAAAACATAGTCCATGTGTCTATTCTAAAATTTACTGGTAGTATTTTTTGAGATGCTCTGTGTTCCACGGTCTACCCAGTGGTTGTCCCTTCATGTCTTTCAAGCTATAAGCCCCTTTCCTAGGCTGCGGATCACTTCATATGGACCTTCCCAGTTTGGTCCGAGTTTTGCTAGGAGGTCTCCTGCTGTTGCCGCGTCTCTTAACACGAGGTCCCCTGGTTGAAAGATTCTTGGTTTCACTTTCCGATTGAAGTATTTGACGGCTCTCCGTTTATAGACCATCATCTTTATTGTCGCTTTCTCCCTTACTTCTTCTAGTAGGCCGAGTTCTCCCCTGGTCGTGGTGTCATCGGGCTGTCTGACTTTCATCCTGCCTGTCTCACTTAAAATTTCAAATGGGACTACGGCTTCTGTCCCAAAAGTTAGTCTGAATGGCGTCTCCCCGATTGACTTTCGTGGAGTTGTGTGGTACACCCACAGCACATTGGAAAGCTCACCTGCCCAAAGCGCCTTTTCCTTTCCAATCTGGTCTTCAGATCCCAAAGAATGACTCGATTGGTTACTTCAGCTTGCCCGTTCGATTGTGGGTGAGCGACCGAAGTCAATCTATGGTCGATGTGATAATTTGCACAAAAAGCCTTGAAGCTATGATTGTCAAATTGTCTGCCGTTATCTGTCACCATTACCCTGGGTATCCCGAATCGACATATTATATTTTTCCATACAAAACCATGTACGTTTGCAGTCGTGAAGGTTGCAAGTGGTTCTGCCTCTTCCCACTTGGTGAAGTAGTCGATGGTGACCAGCAAAAACTTCCTTTGCCCCTTGGCTAAAGGTAGAGGACCTAAAATGTCCATCCCCCACTGAAAAAATGGGCATACTCCAAATATGGTTACCTGCTGCTTGACTGGGACATGGATCAAATTTTCGTGTCGTTGACATGTGTCACACTTTCTTACTAGTTCTTTGGCATCTCTTTTCATGGTTGGCCAATAGTAGCCTTGCCGTAGAATTTTGAAAGCAAGGGATGTTGCCCCTTGGTGATTACCACAAGTCCCAGCATGTACTTCAAATAGCATCCTTTTAGCCTCCAAGGATTATATGCACTTCAGATATGGCATGGTGAAACCCCGCTTGTAAAGTTGCCCATCAATGATGGTGAATGAGGCTGCCCGAGCTCTCAACCTTCTTACTTCAAAGGGATCTTCCGGTGTTTTATTTTTTGTGAGGTACTTGATTAACGGATCCATCCAGCTTTCCCCGTACTCAATATTTTTCACCTCGACCCAGCGTTGGATGCTGGGTTGCTGCAAGACTTGCACATTCACTGTTCGCGACAGATTTCTTGGGTTTGCTGATGCGAGTTTCGCTAGTGCGTCTGCCCGCTCATTTTCCTTTCGTGGGACCTTTGTCATCCTGAAACTTGCGAACCCCTTTTCTAGATCCCTTACTTTCATCAGGTAGGCTGTCATCTTTCCATCCTTAGCCTCATATTCCCTCGACACCTGTCCAACTATCAGCTGCAAGTCATTGCAAACCTCTATCGAAGACACCCCCAGCCTAGCTGCCAGACCTAGGCCTGTGATTACTGCTTCATACTCAGCATCGTTATTAGTGGCGAGGAACTCGAAGCACAGTGAGTATTCCAATTCCTCGGAGTCTGGTCCAATCATTATGATTCTTGCCCCCGATCTTTCCGTAATTGAAGAACCGTCCACAAAAACCTTCCAATCTGTCTTTTGCCCTTCCGGGGATTCTGCTGGGGTGGTGAGCTCAGTAATAAAGTCTGCCAGAGCCTGCGCTTTGATGGCAGTCCTTGGCTTGAATTCAATGTCAAATTCACTCATTTCAATTACCCATTTTAGCAATCTTTCGGATGTCTCTAGTCGATGTAGGATCTGTTTGATGGGTTGGTCGGTCATCACTTGAACCGTATGGGACTGAAAGCAAGGCCTCAATTTTCTGACTGCAATGATCAATGCGAGCACCAGTTGTTCGGCCAAACTGTACCTTATCTCAGGGCCTTTGAGGACTTGACTGACATAGTAGACTGGTTTCTGTGCCTTTGGGAATTCCTTTACGAGAACTGCACTGATTGGCCGTGGTGATACTGCGAGGTAGAGACATAGTACGTCCCAGGGCATGGGCTGGTCAATATGGGAGGCTGTTGTAGTGGCCTCTTCAAGGACGCCAAAGACTCCTCACACTCTTGAGTCCACTCAAAATTTGTAGAGTCGGGGAAAAAGACCGGTACATTACCACATTGGGTGCTGCATCGAGTCTCATCAGATCAACGAAGGTCCGTCGGTGGTCAAGCAGATTCTTGACCCCGTCGTAAGCCTCTATCATAGGCTGCTTGAAGCCTTTAGGCAAAGGGACCGCCATGATCTCGGGCGCGAACGGGTCCTTTTCTAGGATCATTTGCCTGCGTTTGTCTTTTCTTTTAGATATCGTGTCATCAATTTTCTTCGTCATGATCTCCTCCATTCTTCGCTCCAGATCTGCCAGGGGTGGGACGGACTGCAAGACCGTCATCCCTAGAGCCCCGAGCCTGCGGTCACCGGTTGGATGGCAGGCGGTGTTTCTATGTGCGCCTCCTGAGATGGAGGCGGGGCCTCTGCCAAACATAGTAGAAGGGCGGCTCTCTGCGTTTGATTCTGCAAGAGGGTCATCATGGCTGCTAACTAGGTCTCTAGAGCGCTGAACTAGCTTTGCGTCACATACTGCGGCGGCGACGACGGATCAGGGCCTCTAGCAACCGATTCTAATTCTGCCTCCGTCGTTACTGCTCATAGGTATGTGTCACTTCTTGTTCGTCTTCTCGACATGACCTTTGTGTTTAGTGGAAGAATTTCCCACAGACGGCGCTAATGAAGTGGTTGTGGAACAATACCCTTCTATCTGCCTGGTGGCGTTTGGCGTTCCGACTACTCCGTCAAGTGTGTATGACCTGAAAAACGAAGGCGAGGCTTCCTCCCCCATTTTACCTCCGGCGTGAGAATTAGTTCAAAGACTTGGAAAAGATGCGATTGGAATTCAGATGACTAAAAAGAGAGAGAGAGATCCCCTTACCTGTGTCACATCCGGGGGTATTTATAGATATTGGGAGCTAGATAACCGTTGGGCGGTTGTGGTGCCACGTGTCCCACGTTGGCATTCTCACTACCCCCACGTTCTTAGTGGGGGGGTCTTTAACTTCCCGCCTGGAGGTTATACCCGATTACCCGTATCAACCGCCATGGAACCTAGTCAATCTACTAGAGGTTTTATGGCTAAGTGTTTGGATGGCCAATTCCATGCCAGTTGAAGATTTCGCGTAGAGGTAGAGCGACCTCTAAGGGTAGTGGTAGAGTGTCCCTGAGGGGTCGATGACCTCGCGTAGTGGTAGAGCTCCCCCTGGGGGTAGTGGTAAAGCGCCCCTGGGGAGTCGATGGTCGTGCATGGTGGTAAAGCACCCCTTAAGGGTCGGTGGCCTTGCATCGAAGTGCAGTGATCCGTCTTGCTTGTCGTCGAGGGTGGCTTCCTCTACCAACCTATATCAGCACTATTGATCCTCACTTATTGCTTGAGTAACAAGTTAATCACCAAGGTCGAATATCTCATTTTCAAAAATTGAAAACTAAGCCCCCCATTTGGCCCCATTCTTAGCTAATTTTAATGGATGGAATAGTGTTTTTTCTGAAAAATGTGTGGTTGAAAAAAGAATGAAAAGTTTTTAATTTGTGTGTAATATTATTTTATATGAGATTGTGTGGTTGAAAATAAGATAGAGAAAAAGAATGAGAATGAGAATGGGGGCCAAAAGGGAGCTAATAATACATTATACATTTTTTTCTCCTCCCTTTTCAATACAAATACAATACACAATCTTAAATGTATAATGGTCATTTAACATTTAATTAATTAAAATAAGGATTCCAAACCTTTCAAAAATCTGTGTTGCACGATCAAAACCTTTAAATAATATGCACCGAAAGGATATGTAACGATTTTTATCCAAAAATTCGTAAATTGGCCAAAATAATTCATCTTCTCCAATCCACCCACCTTCACCTCGTAAACCCTAACCCACGCCAAACCTAGTCATTGAACAAACCTCATATGCTTGGTTGGTGAGCCTCACGATATGCCGCCTCGGTTCCTTTACCTCTGTTGATCGTATTTTTCCATTCAAATCAACTCAATTTCCTCATCATAACAAGAACCTTTAAAAAACTGAAAATAAATTAATAAAGATAGATAAATTATTTTCAAAACCAAAATTAGTGGTAGTGGCAATGACAGTGGCGTAGGCCTCCCCACCTTTAAAGATCCGTTAGGGGTGGGAGTTAGGCGAATTGGGGAAGACAAATATTTATTATTTATTTATTTTTATTTTTCTGTCAAGTGACTGAATTTTGATAAAAACATTAGAGGTCCTTTCAACGCATAATTATTAGAGGTTGCGATCTCTCTACATTCTTTAAAGTTTTGGGATCTCCGATGCAAGTTTCCCTTGTTTAAATTAATTAAAGTTAAAAGGCCATTTCGCTCTTTTCAAAATCTTTCAAATTAAGTTCAAACGCTTTACTTTTGACCGACTAACGGATTTTTGGACCAAAACTGTCTATCATACATATTTTGAAGGATCGAGATCCGCCTGCTATGATTTAAAGTTTGTGACCTCTATTACAAATTTTCCTCAATTTAATTGCAATCCAACTATTTAACTTTTGGCGGGAGCATGCTGCCTTAAATGGACATGTGCAATAGTTTGATTCGTTAATACCAATCTTCGGAACAAAGACAGATAGTTGTTCTGTCATTTGAAGCAATAAATTATTATGTATGTGTTTGGTAAAAGTCGGATTTTTGGACAGCCTTGCATAATGCTTGCTCTGTCCCAAAATTCCGTCATAGACCACACATCCTCTGTACGGTTGTTCTATAGTCCCTCTCGAGTCTTTGACTTTACAAAAGGAAGGACCCATTTTATATGTTTATTTTTGGTGCAAATTATCTGGTACTATAGAACGTTGTGTAGAAATTATAATTTAATTTTATCCATTCATTTAGTGTAGAAAAGTACATCAGTGTTACCCACTACACACACACGAAAATGATCTCCTAAAATCACTATAATTTGATAAATGATAAGAAACTATTTTTAGTGTCGGTAATGTTTCCTAAAAATTTTTATTTTCAAAGTGGAATATCAAGCTTTATGGAAATTTCAGTTTAAGCAAAGTTTTTATAGAAGATAGGATGTAGAGTGATACAAATAGGGGTGGCAATGCCCACGAGCCGAAGATGGTATGTAGAGTTATACAAATAGGGGTGATCATGCCCACGAGCACACAAGCCATAAAAATTTGGAAATAAAAGAGTCAAAATTTTTTTACAAAATTAAAATAAATAAATAAATAATATCTTGAGCTGAGCTCGTGGGAGATAGGTCGAACCGAGCCACTAGATACAAATATCTACAATTTGTAAGAAGCAATCTAATACTATCCATATTGAGCCTTAGTTCGAAATTTTTCATCGTATATTTGTCCATCATATTTTAGTGGAATCATTCTCTATTCTATAAGATAACTAGTTAAGAGATTTCAAACTCTGATATCAATTTATGTAAAGTGACATGATCAATTTTTCGAAAATCACAATTAGCAACAAAATTGCAATCAAGATTTTATAGTTCAATATTTGACTGAAAAATCCATGATGCTCTTTTTATTTCAAGAATGTCTTACAAGCTCAACTCGTTATCATGTTCAAGTAATGCTGGTGCATATGCGTCATAGTTTTGCAATTGTCTAATTCGTTGAATTAATTATTAGTGTGATTGTATGATTAATCAGTCAAATAAAGCCCAAATCCCAAGACAGTGTCACGTGATCGTCATGGAAATATACGGTGAGTTAGCCAGCTGGCAGCACCCGTGTGGGGCTTAACTCTGAAAACGTGGCATGATATGCGGACAAGAATTTACCGACGCCGTAACGTGCATCTGGGCCCTACATAACGTGATTGCGTGCTAGCACGTCGCATTTTCCACTTAAAAATAGAAGGGTAGTTTCGTCAAAACACAACTGGACTACAATTTTTTATTTATTTTTAATAAATATATACCACATTTTAATTATCGTTAACTTTTATTAATTATCATACTGTTATTCTTAATTTTTTTCTTCATCACATTTTTATTATTAATATTTCATTGATCAGATAATGTTGTCCTCGATCATGGTTTTCGTCCAAAATTATTTTTATCGTGCTTTAAAATAAGGGTTGATTATTTAATTGTATTTTTAATTTTCTATTTATTTTTAATAATTAAGAAATGGACAAATGAGTCTTTTTTACTCTATTTTAAAGAAAATTTTGGAGAGAAACTATAATTGATGAACAGTTTATGATAATTTGAGAATAAGGATGCGATGAAAAAATATTTGAGTTATAAATGTGATATATATAAAGGTTATGAAGCTTTCATGTAATTAAAATTTAATCTAGTTAATAAAAAATGTGGTGTTAATGTATTTAGCCATTATTTTGGACGTTCACTTTTTGTTTTTATAAATAAACAATGCGATAGGTGAATTGTTTAAAAAATTATTGCGTAAGCAAAAATAATCGGTGTTCAACAAATTATTATTTAATACAAGTTGACGAAAACTTTATCAAGCTGACATAGTAAAGAAAGAATAGACAATATCCAGAGTTTCGTCCGGATTAAAACATTTGTTCTCAAACAAACTATTTGAGAAGTGTTAATAAACGATTTAAAATATAAATAGATAAAAATGAGTTGTTCATGAGTTAGTAGTATTTGTGGATCATTTAAAATACGTGAATAAAAAGTGATTTGGGTACTTATAAATAATTTATAACGCGTGAGCCAAACATAGGCTTAGTAGTTAGTAGTACTGATTTGGCAAAATTTACATTATTACTTAAGCATCGAGATACGTATATATGTGGATAAAAAATCAATAATGATTATGAATCTTACGAAATACGTGAATGAAAAATTATATTCTATCTAAATGATTATGATTTATAATTTTGTCATTTGAAAATTCTAATCCTGATTTAGTTTCCGATGTGCCCTTGGCTACGAGTTTTTCTTCAACCTTTCTATTTCTAATTTTGTTATCAACCGACAGATAAAATAAAAGTGACAACACAATCAATGAATTGAAAGCCCACATAATTTTCTCTTTAGTATTGAATAGTTGACAAAATATTCAATCATACACACTTTCATCAACTTTATTTTCAAATTCATATTATTATCTAGTTACTTGTTTGAATCTTAGAGTCTGTTTTATGTAGCATTTTTTATAATAGATTTTGTAAAAGTAATTTTTATTTTTAAAGAATGTGTGATCCAAAAGTTTAAAAAAAAAAAAAAAAAAAACCTATTGATCCTCATGCAAATTTTATTTTATTGAAAAAATATATAATTGAAAATGTGTTAAAAGAACCTCTGTCAATCCAACTCTATCTTTTTTACTAGTGGATATGGAAAAAGTAAGTAGAAGATTTATTTTTCTGTAAAATATAAGATTGAAGCTTAATGAGAGAGGTTCGGAGCTTTAAAAGCAATCAAATTTTTCGAGTAATAATTTTATTTTACCTTTTAATCTATAAAGGCTGCCAGATTATAATAAAAAAGGAAAAAGATGGAGTTACAGGGCCTGGTTTACAGGCCCTTGCCAGATGAGAGAGGAGGGGTAGGACCCACCATTTTTTTTATAATTGTTGTGGGACCCGATCCCCTACAATGAGGGGGCCTGTACAACGCCCGTGAACCGAGCTCCTATACATGGAGCTCGGTCCAATAAATATTTCGAGTAATAATTTTATTTTACCCTTTAATCTATAAAGGCTGCCAGATTATAATAAATAAGGAAAAAGATGGAGTTATAGCCCTGGTTCATAGGCCCTTACTAGATGAGACAGGAGGGGGGGGGGAGGTAGGACCCACCATTTTTTTTTAATTGCTGTGGGTTCCGACCCCCTACAACGAGGGAGCCTGTACAGCCCCTGTGAACCGAGCTCCTATACATGGAGCTCGGTCCGATAAATAATGTAATGTTAGGTTTTGTGATTTTACCCTGACTTAGTTGTATATTTAAGTTATGCTCCTGTTTGAAAAAGTAGTTAAGATAAAAATAGGATTTTTAACAGATTTGATAAAAATTAATAAACTATGGATGGAAAATTATTAGCGCTTGTCTGGGAGAAATTTTCAGCCAAATTATTACCGTTGGCAGCAAAATTATTCCTGTTGGCAACCACTTTAATAGACTGGTTGTGTCTTGTGTGGAATCCACCTTGAAAAAAAATGTCAAAAAAGCACTTTCTTGGCTTTAGAAAATCACAGCCAATCAACCTCTTAATCTCATAAAATATATAATTAAAATTAATTATTGATTTTTGCTTGAGTTTTAGTACACTTTTCTAACTGAACCAAACATAGAGACATATATATAGAAGCAAGTCTAAAAATTGACGGTGCAAATGAGGTTTTAGCCAAATCAGCTTTTCAAAAGGGAGAAGTCTTTTAGAAGTGATTCGAAGAGTGCATACTTTAAGTTAGTTAAAAAGAAAAGAAAATCTAATTTAGTTTTTTTTTCTTTTTCTTTTTTGCGGGGAAAAATGTTGTTATTCAATTATTCTTACAACTGGAATTGTTTCTTTATCTTTATGTGCTGTTCTTTGTTTTTTATTTTTTATTTTTTTTTATTTTTCAATTACCAAATTGTTTGAATATAATCCAAAGATAATTTTCATTTGTTATTCTAACCTTGCGTCAATAATTATGGGAAAACGGACGATTCCTAGTAGACAATTACTATCGGGCAAAGACTAAAGGGCAATGGAGGTGTGTAAAGGATTTCTAAAGTCGAACATAAGTCTTGATTGTAAAACTAAGGAGCTAAAACTTATAGTACGATATCAATATATATTTTGAAAAATACAGTTTAATGTGTAATTTTGCTGAACATAAAGAAATGGACGCTTGTAGAATATATCCATTAGTAATCTAGCGAGCTTTAAATACTAGTTCGAGATATTCGAGATTAGTTTAGTTCATCTTGTGTAAAATTTGTAGAATGTTGATATGAAAATGATAATAAACAAATAATCAAGAGCCTAAAACTCAATTATTATTGAAACCTTATAAAATTGAAAATTCATTCAAGCATTACTTCATGAAAAAATAATAGCTCAACTCAAATATATTATAATATAAGATTGTAATATCAACCCGTCAAAAAAAAAATTTAGATTATGTACAATACTTTCAATTTATAGAACAACAAAAATATTCACATTTTCACTCCTCTCCTTAATGTTAATACTAAGACCATGTTTGGTCCGAAATTTTTAAAATTCATTTTTAACCATTTATTTTATAAATTCACAATTTTTATTTACTTTTAGACCACGTGTTTTATTTTATTTTATTTTTATCAAATCTTCTAAAAATCTGATTTTGAACCGAATCAAACAAGGCAAGTGTCGTTCGACCTTACATATCAAATATTACAATTTATATGATATAACCTGTTGAACTTGCAAGGAGGCACAAAGTTAAAGTAGAGGGAGAGTATAGCGTAAGAAAAAGCTTCAAGATAGTTTTATAATGGCTGAAAGTAAAGAAATCATTCAATGGGCATAATAATGATTTCTGTGATGCCCAAATGGCAGACATAATTGCAGCCGTTAACTCACTTTTATTTTTCTGTTAATTTGTTTCAATTTATGAATTAATTAACGCCTTTTTAGCTGTAAGGTCCGTTGTAAATATAGTAGGAAAAAAAAATGTAAATTTATTGAACATTGCTACATTTACATTATGGTATATACTTTAGTTTACACTTCGTCATGTGTCATTACCCTATTGAATAATTTAAATTTAAAATGATTTTTCCATCCAATTGACACTTGATAACAATACAAGTGTCAACCAAAGTGTCAAAAATCAGTATATAAATAGCAAAGTTCAATTTTATTAACGTCTGTTTGGAAGAAATTTATTACTAACAAAGTATGAGAAAATTAAACTCTGAATCAACCGTCAAGATTTGACTTTGTGAAATAACTAAGACTCGATCGAGTTAGACATACCTGATAATTAAATAATAAAACATTAAGATTCGATATAATTTTATTTTTTTGAGAAAGAAGAGTTAATTATACATATCATATATCCCTTTCAAAAATAAAAGTTTGAAATCATATATGTTGTGGAATAGTGGCTAAATAAATAATCACCAAGTGAAATTAATATGTAAGGGAAGTAGTGAAAAAAATTTCCTTTTTGGTGTTGGGGCTTTTTTGGAAATTTATTTAGTAAAGTAGCATTTATTAGTCCTACAAATTTTTGAAAGACCAGCAACAACTGAATATCAAACAAAAACGTATTGTTTTAAAATAAAAACCAACCATAAATTAACATATTATGTATGTATGAATGAATATATTGATTTGATATGAAATTATGAACTCGATATGTTCAGCAATAATTTACGAAATCTTGATGATCTCTATACTTAATAAATAAAGAAATGTTTTTAAAATTGTCTACCTTACACCCAACCAAAAATATATACTTCGACAAAAAGCAAGCAATAAAATCATGCAAAGATAATATGGTTATTATCGCCCCCATTTGTTTCTCATTCTTTGTCCAAAAAAATAAAAAAATATGATTGTTATTCATTACATCAAACCACCATATTTGACTTCCTCTCTTTTGTGCGGGTCCTGTAATGACTATATTTTTTATTTTCATTCTTATAAAAATGAGAATCAAACGAAATGTATATAAGTATGCACGTATGTTTTTTTGCTATTTACTATGGTTGCGCCAATACAATGTAATGGAGATACCATATTTACATGCTTAGAGTGTTAATGCATTATAAACATTTGAGCATTGTCACACAATCAATTTAAGGCATAAATATAAATGATATTTGTTGCCAAAATAGATATATGTAAAGGGAGCTATATTATATATTTCTTTTGGTAATGTTGCGAAATATCTATACTTTACATATAACTTCAACGAAAGGTTATATCTAAGTTCTACAAAATAGGTCAACAAGTTAACACAATTTCATCCTTGTATACACGAATACGTGCATGTTTGTAGCTACGTAAGCACACATGTTGAAATCTGTTTATTCACTAGCCAATTCATATCAGCAAGCTATGAACATTTTAAAATTTGTACCTTGAATATGTAGCGGCTAAAATTTAAACATTGAGTGCTATAAATGCGAGTTAAGTGCTATAAATGCGAGTACTAACTAGTATTAGGTAATATTGATTGTGAAAAAAGTATAATTACAATGTAATAAACATGCACATGTACTAATTATTGTTCGAAAATAAATACTAAGTATTAAGCCTATGTTTGAGCTTTTAAAAAAAAAAAAAAAAACTCATTTTTAACTATATGTTTTTTCATAAAATAATTTTACATAAATATAAATTTTTTTTTCTATATTTTAACCACATATTCACCTAAAAATCACTATTCAAAAGCAGGAAAAAATACTGGAGGAGGATAGAGAGTTAGTTTTGCTATAGAAAATTATTTTATGAAAAAATATATAGTTAAAAATGTTTTTTAAAAAAAAGAAAGAAAAATGTTGAACTCTAACCTTGAGGCCCTTACCGTCCCGTCCCTAGAGCCTTGTAAGGAAGTTAAATCGTGAAATGTGTCCCAATAAGTCAGGAAATAAGAATTGTATGTACACTGCGAGTCCAATTCCATAGTTAAAAGTATTTTAATACACGAGAGAGAGAAAGAGAGAGCCTTTCGTAGGTTCTCGTGTGTGAGGTGGTGCGGGGTCGGGTTATTGGAGAAGACTTAGACATCACGATAGTGAAGAGCGAGTGAAGAGCGAGTGAAGAGTAAAAGACAGCTTGCAATGAATCAAGAATTTTACCTACCATATTTCCTTTCTTTTTAGCCTCTTCTTCTCTCACTTTCTCTTCTTCACAACCCATTTTCGGTTTCATTTCTCCTTCTTCCTTTCGCACTGTAGAACTGGCACTAATAATGGAGGAATAATAGAGTAGGGGTTTGGGTTTTTTTTGTCCTTTTTGTTTTGTTTCTTTATTGCTTTTTCTCAGACTGGGCTCTTCTTGTTTGCCTTTAAATTTGTGCCCAAGAAAAATAATTCCCAATTCCTTCGCTGATTGACATTGGAGTTTTTCGGTGAGAAGATTTTACTTTTGTGGGGTTTAAGAACAGGTTTGGCTCTGCTTTTTTTCTCCCATTCTATTAACATGAACTCGTTTTCTCTCACTTTCATGAGTGGAATTTACATATTTCATGCAAATTTTGTTTTAAAATATGTGTTTTTCCTTGTCTCTGTTTTCCGGGGGAAGAAAGGTTGAAAATTTGATAAAGTTTGAGTCTTTTAAGTATTTCCTTTGTTTTACCTTCAAATATGCAAATAATTGTTCTTGTTAAGGAATTTGGTAAATTTTTCTATATTGTCAAGTTTGGTTTTCCAAGAAAAAATGGGCAAGTTTGAGTCTTTATGACCCGTCGTTTATGTTTTCAAATTAAGCCAAAACAAGAAGTTGAGCAACAAATTGAAATATTTTGTTCCCATTTTCTTTTTTGTCTTTTACAATTCTTGAAATGTGGAATCTTATCTTGTATTTCTTCAACACGCCATTTTCTTGAAATGTAATTCTCTAATTAATAACCATTTCTCTCTTTCTATTGCAGGAAAATTAGCGTAGAGAAAACTGAGTTCTGACGATTTTGTTGACTCGAGCTCTCTGCATTTTGGGTTATTCAGATTTTGCCTTTTCAAACCCAAAACTTCAAGGTTTGTTTTCGATTCCTGCATTTGAATACTTAAAATTTATGGTTTTTGCCATAGAATTTTGTCGGTGCACTCTATTACAAGTCCAATGTTCACATTCAATTTATTCCCACTTTTGTTATTTAAGATCGTCTACTTACAAAAGATTATTCAGATTCTCAGTGTCTTACCTTAAATGTTAAATTACTATATACAATAATCCAAATTTCTAACGTATGAATGTGTATGTTTTGTGCACATATACAAATTTCTAATTTTTTGTTTTTTATTTTTTTTGCAGGGAAAGATCGTGGGAAAGAGTTTTAAAAGTATAGAAATGACAGGTCCAAATTGCATGGATGAAAATGACTGTGGAAACTTCTTTGATCAAATTGATGACTTGATTGAGTTCCCCCCAGATAATGAGTATGGTGATGGCAACCTTATTGACTCGGGCGATTGCAAGGATATTGCGCGCATTTGGAATGATCCCTTGCCGGAATCAGACCCCCTTTTCTTCAATAGCCAAAGCAACGCCATTACTGATCTATCCGCTGAACTTTGTGTTCCGGTGAGAATCAGCATTTGGTATATAAGTGTCATGAATTTCCCTAAACAAGTTAATTCTTGCCAACGGCTTCTTCAAAAACTTTGCGACATTATATGCAATCGGTGAAATTTGTCGAAATCATGCGCTGTGGGACCAGTTATTCGTTTATGCAATCGGTGAAATTTGTCGAATCACATACTGTGGGGCCAGTTATTAGATTACGTGATTTTATTGAATTCAAATTTTTTTTTTCAAGCCGTCTTAATCTCTTGGCAAGGTAGCGGCTGTTAGGTACAACATCTTGCTTATTTCCCCCCACCTGAAATTTGGTATGAAAAATGAAAAAGTAGGGGAGGGAGGATCGAGGTGGCAGTCATGGTACTACTGAAATTATGGCTTAGCACTTTTAATTTTTATTATGTATTATCATGAATAGCAGTGCTTATAAGATTGTAGTGTAGTTATGCCACATTGGCGATGCTGGATGTCACATTCTTGGCATTTACTATATTTCGATTAACCATTTTAGAACCAGCTTTTTTGGGTTCTATATGAACTTTTTCATGATGCTAATTTTGATATTATTAAGTGGTAAACAGTTGTTGGTTTGACGTTTGAATTATACAATTTTGTTCCAAAATTCAAATATTTATGAGTAGGGTAAGTGTTGTCCATTCTACCCACACATTTGTTTTATTATGAATTATTTATATGTATATTTTAAATCCAAGTTTAACTAAGTCTAGAAATCCTATTTTTCCATGCTTGGTTGTTCCTCAATGTACATTTTCAAACTGCTAGCTCAGTTTTGTCTGTAACTATCTGTTACTTCTTTTCTTCTATGGAGTTAGGGTGGCGAGGCACGAATACCGAATAAATCATTTATTCATGTGAATCTTACTTTTTAGCTGCTAGGTGAGGTTATAACTTCACGAAATCCATCTTTGAACACTTTTAGGCTCTCGCTGAACTGGTGACGGATTGGTAGTTTAATGTGAGATGCCGTGACATGAAAATCCTGTAGCTCTTTTCATGTGGAAGTTACCGAAACTTCATGTGCACAGTTGTGAATGAGCACACTAGCACACGATATTTCATCATTACGTGTTCAATTGGCTAATACTTTCCATTAACAATGTCTATTTTTCTCGATTAAATGAATAGAATATACCAATTCTGTTGTGCCAGATGTGATTTTGAAGTAAATATACGATGTTATATCTTAAGCTCATCTGTTTATTTCTCTTAATCATGCCTTGTTCTCTCTCGCAGTATGAGGATATCGTACAGCTGGAATGGCTTTCTACATTTGTGGAGGATTCGTTCTCTGGTGCGGACTTGACTCTAGGAAAGGAGAACCTTTGTGTTGTCAAGGAGCCATTGCACCAACAATTCCTGAACTCCAGTCCGGTTTTGGTGCTAGAGAACAGCAGCAGTAGCAGTAGCAGTTCCTGCTCAGTTGGGAAGACTATGCCCCTCGACATGAGGCGCCGTGGTCCGCATCGTGCCCGGACCAAACGTTCACGCCCTGCAACTTTCAATCCTCGAGCAGGAATTCAACTCATTTCCCCTTCATCCTCCTTTGAGACCCCACAGCTCTTTGTCACTCCAGTCATTTCCTCAGAATCTGAATATTTTGCGGAATCGCAGCCCATGGAAAAGATTATGAAACAGGTTGGAGCAGAACAAAAGAAGAAGAGGAAAATCAAATCAGCTGTGCCTGTTGGTCCTATGGAAATGAATGAGAACCCTCCAGCACAAGCAGTTAGAAAATGCATGCATTGCCAGATTACAAAGACTCCACAGTGGAGGGCTGGCCCAATGGGTCCAAAATCCCTGTGCAATGCTTGTGGCGTTCGCTACAAGTCAGGTCGCCTTTTCCCCGAATACCGTCCAGCTGCAAGTCCTACATTTGTTCCGTCATTGCACTCAAATTCTCACAAGAAAGTTATCGAGATGAGAACCAATGGTGGAGCAGGAATCACAGCAATTACCCCGACCACCATCAAGTCAGAATCTGTTTCGAACACATCCCTGTCATGCGAGTGATGGAATGAAGCTGTCCTTGTGCAAACTGTTGGTTTTAGTCTCATATTATTTTCTTGCAGTTGTTTCATACCTATGTTCTTTGGTTTATTGTACAGAGATGTAATGTGGAGTAGGAGCCACAATAGACCATATTATAATTCGTAGGGAAGAAGAATGAGATGAGAGAGTTTGGCAAGTCTAGTCGATAAATGGAGTTTAGGACTAGGGCGAGCTTTTAGGCTTGTTTAGGTCTTTAGTATTAGTAGTTTTATGATCAGTATTATCTTTTTGTTAGTCTGTTTTGTTTACATGTCATGGGAATTCTTTTTACAGTTAAGTTGTAGGAATTCTGAAATGTTAAGAATCTCAATTATGGTTTTATCTCTGCTTCTTCTGCGTTTTTGTTTCTAAAAACGCTGATTGTATCATTTTATGTGCGATAAATCTTTCGAAAGAGTAAGAAATATGTCGTGATTACACGAGTCTATTGTGTATAAGCTTTTATAGCATCTATGGCATCAGCACGAGGTAAAATCGCACCTTAAAAGACTGGATGTAACGTTCTCCTAGTTCGACTCTTATATATGTTGCTACTATGATTATGAGAACTCTCCCGATAATGACTTGTGTAAATTTTATGTGCATGCAGAATAAGTTCAATTAAAACTAAGCTTACATTGAACCCACAAATTTCAATATTGAGTTGTTCATTATCTATGCTAAATTAACTAATCTACGAAAATAAGCTAAAATTATCCAAGTTGATTCAAAGATGAAAAAAGCACTAGAAATGCGACTCCTTCAGTGACTTCATTTTAACTCCCTGTTATTAATTTCAATTCATGTCATGAATTTCTTCGTGACAATCGATTATCCTAATTTATCTAACAATCTCTCCGAGGAAAGCTAGACTTATTCTCATATATGACCTTAAAATATTCCTAGCAAGAATTCTAATATATAGACATGCATTAACATTCAAGAATACCATGAAATGATTGTATAAAGCATAGAAGTGTTTTTATACCATCTTTATGTTGTTTATTAACACGCATTGAACCTATTTTTGACTTTTCTAAAGCAAAATAAATCAAAAATATTATTTCATATGGTGATCAAACATTCAAATGTAATGATCTCTTAATACACAATCACAAGAACATGAATTGAAATGAAAATGAGAATTGTATAGTCAAAATATCATAACAAAGTTCAGGTAATCCTCATAGTTAAAAAAGATTTAGCCCAGCATCTTCAAATTAACCCCCCCCCCCCGCCCCCCACTCCCAAAAAATAAAAAATAAAATAATAATATATAGTATTTATTTTGTCCAATCCATTGATGGTTCTCACATATTATATTCTATTATTGCACTTCTCAAACTCGCCACACTGCACTCATTATTTAACCAATAAATTAATTTTTATTACGTAAATTAATTTTTATTCCGTAATAAATACGTACTTATTAATTAATAATTGAGTGGCTACTCATGCATTTTTTAAATTAATTTTTTTTTTTATTTAAATGTTGTGTAAGGAGAAATTTTGCTGTCCTTTTTCTTTGTTTACGATATCATACATGTGGGCAGGGGAGGATATGGGAACATCATTAAGTGGAGACGAGAAAGAATTATGTAAAAATTAAATGTTGAACTAAAAATTATGAACTATGTAAATGTTAAAAATTAATTGCTCCCGCTGGACCCTTAATGGGTCAGGTCCACCCCTGCATGTGTGACTTTCTTTCCTCTAGAATAGCATCTTTTTGCACCCGCTGGACCTTTAATGGGTCAAGTCCACCCCTGCATGTGTGACTTTTTTCCTCTAGAATAGCATCTTCAACGTAACAACATTAATTGTTATGCACGTGACAAGGAAAAATGAGAATTGAGAGAAGAGCATCTCCAATGAAGATGTGTATTGCACTAATTATGGGTCCCATGCATAAGCGAGAAGATGTAGAGAAAAAGTTGAAATAAATTATGATAATTAAATTATCCATTCTTTAATGAAGATAAATTATGAAAATCAAATGATACATTCTTTAATGAAGATTGATCACCCCAGAAATATCCGATCGCGGACTCGACCACACTACCCAGAACTTGGCCCTGCCTAAAAATCATCAATATGAGGTCGGGGTACTTAGGTCGGGCCTCTGTGACGTCATGACAGGTCTTTTTGATGACCTAGGGGAACACAAATTCTACCCAACCTACAATTCTTACCTAGCTAGACTCACTTTTCGACTCAAACAATGGTTGAATGCTTGAAATGAAACACTAACTCCTTATTCTACAAGGATAAGGATCACACATGGCTAAGTCCTCCTAGGACTCTATCATCGGCACCTATAAATACATAACCCGGGCTCATTTTTGAGTTATGTTTTTCATTATTTCTAGTTTACAGCCTCACGCACTAAATTCCCTATTTGACTTAAGCATCGGAGGGGCGACGAGCACACACCTCGTTGCCTTTGTTGCAGGTATTCGAAGACCGTTCGTGTTCATCAAAGTTCGAAGTTCGATCCTCAAGTTCGAGATCTCTCAAGTACTATTTTTTGGTAGCATCAGTACCTATTTTCAGTGACACAATAATAATATGAGTTATTCTTGGGAAAGAGGGCTGAAAACAGGGCCTACGTGGCCCTCTTTGAGAATAATTATACTAATAATATTCTATAACGAATTAGCTGTGTCAACAAGTTGAGTAAAAATTGCTGCAGAATTTGTTCATCTTATTACTAGGTTAATTGTTCAGCATATAATGAGTAAAGATAATGTTCGATTTGGATTAAAATCGTAAATAAATTGAGTTGACAGTGCTGCAGATTTATTCATCTTAGATAACACTATGTGACATTAAATGAGAGATACAATTAAGTGAGTCACATATTTCAACATTTAATTAAACATATCACATGATAACACCTAAATTGTTGTTAAAATAGTATCAATGGTGCTATATAACATTATTTTTTTTTAATTATTATGAGCTTAAAAAGAGGAATTAGGGATGACAATGGGTCGAACCAGCTCGACTCGACTCGACCCTTTAACCCACGAGCTCAGCTCGGCTCAGACTCGTGGTGAGTCGAGCTCGTGGCTCGTGAAAGACGAGCCGAGCTTGAACTTGCCCCACGAGCTCGTAATTTTTAAAAAAAAAATTTTGGGTAAATTTACACATTTTTTGTAAATTTGCATATTTTGTGGGCACACGGTCCATAAATCGCTCGTGGGCTCAACGAGTCGAGATAGCCCGAGCCGCTCGGCCTGTCCATTTGACATCCCTAAGAGGAACGGATATAAAAGTTATTAAAAATAACAATGTACTCAATATATTATAGTGTAAAGCTCATTAGATTTTATTTTATTTTTGATATTCAAGTATCCACCTTACAGTGACTAAATCCTGGAGTTTACACCTTGGCCCCTCAAGCTGCAAACAGGTTAAACCGTAGGTTGTGCCCCAAACTGATCATTGTTCAAGAGCCCCCCCAACTGTCTGTCAAAGTGCCAAGCAAATCGTTTTTCATCTTTGCACCTTGCCTTCCAGTAGAACTCCTGCCTTTCAGGATAAATCCTGTCTTCCAGGAGAATATCTGTCTTCCAGGAATCGAACTCACAACCTTTGATCTGCTAGTTTTGAAGCGCCCTCATTTTTGCCAGTTGGGATGTGTCCTGGGGGGGAAAACTCATTAGATTTTATTATGAAGGGTGGTAGCGCATACGTTAGAGAAAAGGAAATCCCAACAGGGTGTATATTTCAATTTCCGACGGGACTCCTAATTTCACACAAAGTAAATGGTGTTGAAATTGAGATTGGATATCAATTAAACTCGGCCTATTTGAGTTCACCTAATTAGGCATATTTTGGAGACCATTGCCCTCACACTGGCCCATACTAAACATACTGGGGGAACTATATTTATTTGAGAAATTTGCACCCGGGTTTCACAAACTATACCTCTTAAAGCACTTCGGTCCCCATTTGAAATTTATGACTTTAGATTGCAAAGTTTTGATTTTTGGTAAACATAGGTCCTTTTGGATGGAATCTCACGCGCCTTTCACACCATCACTTTACGCTTGGGTATTTTCGACAATCCATTATACTACTTATGAAACAATTAAAAATAGAACAAAAATAAAAATTTTTGGTAAAATATCACAAGAAGTTGATGAAAATACCCATGCTTAAAGTCGTCGTGTGCAAGGTATAGAATTATTTAATTTTTATAGATTTCATCCGAAACCAAAAATAAAAATTTTGGTTATCTGAAATTAAAGAAAATTTGAATGGGGATCCAAAGGGTATAGATTGAGGATCTATGTGCAAATTTTTCTATATATTCTAACTATTGTTTCATGAAAAATTTGCACTTTTCGTCTCCAACTTTTGCGAAATGTAACAAATCTACTCTACCTTTTTTTTAATATAATACAACTCGAATATTTCAATTATTGAGTAAAACTCATAATCTATCCATTTTTGACCATTAATGATAGATTTGCCCACCTCTTTAAATAAACCAATAAATAATAATGAACATTTAACTTTCCCAACCAAGTTCCCCCACCCGTCCAACTACACCCAGAATGAAACACCACTTCCACAAATGTAATCACGCTTACAACAGCACCCCCCATCTTTAGAGAAATTAATTTAGAAATTAAATAAAATCTTCGATATAAATAATTGACAACCTAGACCGTCGAACCACCACCAATAATGGACACTTCAATAGCCCCTCAACATTAGGGATGTCAACGAGTTGAGCCGAATTGAGCTGGCTCACGAGCTAAAATTTTTGGCTCGAGCTCGACTTGAACTTTTTTAAGGTGGGTTTTTTTTGGTCCAAGCCGAAAATTAAGGCTCGACCGGAGCTTTCTGCTCGGGCTTTACCGAGAAGAGCCGGGCCGAGCTCGATTTCTAGATTTTTTTTTAATATATACCTCTTATGGCCTGTTTGATAGCTATTTTAGCTGCCAACCAGTAGCTGATTTGCTGCCGGTGTTGGCAACAAATCTGCTACCAATAGATAGTAGATTTTTCCTCTCTTTTTCCTCTTTTTTTTTTTTTTTAAAGATACGGGTTGGCCCGACTTGAGCCAACTCTAAAAAATGAGGCTCGGTGCCTCTGAGCCTTGAGTCGAGCCACGAGCAGTCCGAGCCGACCAGCTCAATTACCATCCCTACTCAACATCCATTTGCAAGAACCAAATTGCAACTCTTGCTTTTTTAATTTTTTCTAATTTTTAAATTTTTTAAAAATTTATTATAATAATAATAATAATAATAATAATAATAATAATTAATATTATTATTATTATTATTATTATTATTATTATTATTATTATTATTATTATTATTATATGGCAGTGTTGCCACCATCCATGATTGTATTGTGTAGGTGGTGTTTGACCATAATTGAGGGTAGATTGAGTGGGATTGGGGTGTGTGAAGGGGTGAACTTGATTGGGAAAGATGAAATTTTTTCCTTTTTTTTTTTTTTTTTGGTGTTAATATGTATTTTATTTTTAGGTAATATTTGTTTCGACTTTATAAAAAGTTATGAGACTCACTTCGAGATTTTTTAGTATTTTTTTTTATTGCTTTCTTTCTTTCTTTTTTTTCTTTTTTCCTTTTTGTGTTCATTTAAAGAGTGCGTCAAAATTCATGATTTAATGGAAAAATGGGAGGGACTAGTTTTATTACATAGTTGAAAGGTCGGGATAGATTTTACTTAAAAAAGGGTTGGGATAGATTGGTTTCATTTCG